GATGATCTCCAACGATTTTCCATAAATTAAATTAATCAATGAAATTTCTAAAATAAATATGGCAGATATTTAGGAATTTTCGTAAGGGCCTCAGTTGGACCTCATCTCTTAGAAATAACTGAAATCACCTGGACGAGGCATTAGGGACTGATAAAGATAAGTTAATCTCGACTCGGCTCTCGTTGAATGGTTTGGTAATTGCAGATAACTGCGTCGCTTTAGAATACTCGACACGATCGTAGGTACGAGTCACCGCATCGCATCTGTCTAACCCCATTTACCTTTGCCTCGTACACCCAAAATGGCTCCGTCTTCTTCGAGGGGGTGGTTATGAGGTGGGGTTTGAGACTGGGGTCCTTAATGGAGTTAGCCTGAGACATCTTCCAAGGAGGTAGGCCGTAGGATGCTGAGGGTAGAGGGTGAACAAGTCAAGACACGATGGAAGTGGTTGTGCAAGTACCAGGGCAACTTACTAACTCGAGTACTTTTACCTCTCACTACCTCAAACCCGTCGCCCTTACTTCCACAGCTTCTTCTCGGCAGATTCGCGGCTCTTTCTCACGAAATTATTCAATTATCGACTAAGTGCCCCGTCCGGACATACGACTCCCACGTTAATGTCCCCGAAATTTTATTATTTCCTGGAGAATATTATTTATTTGTTTAATGTGCAGTACTGGAGATCAGAACGTGCGATTTTTATCCCTCGGAGTTTTTTTTATTTGGTTAATAATTTATCAATTGTATTAATTATTCGATAAATCGTAATCATCAATTTTTACATCCTGATTTTTTATTGAGTATCGTAATAATTCAATCGAAAACTGGGGGTTTTCTCGGGAAATAAAGGAGATATCGAAATTTTCATTATTACATTTTTTATACCTCTTATTCCGCTCTACAAAAAAGATAGAAATGATAATTTTGAAATTCTCCATAGATTCCGAGGTATTCCTGAAAAACGCAGGTATCGAAATTTCACAGAATTCTTCAGGATTTCCTGGAGCGACTGCTGGCAGGGGCGGGAGAAGGGGGGATAATTTGTTGATCAGTACAATAAATAATTGCATCGATGATTGGTTTTTTTTTTTTTATCGGAATAGAGAGACCTGTGGATTTTTCCCTGAACGGCGGTCGCGAGAGTCACGCAAGTAGTGACGCCGCCGTGGACTCAGACTCGGACGAGATCGACGTTCTTGGAGACGAGGCACCATCACCACCCCAGATGACATCACCAGCCCTCCACCTGCCGAGACGTACCATCTCATCGCCAACAGGTTTCCACCGGTCGAATCATCACACCCTGAGTCATTCCCTCCAGTCCCCTCACCAGGAGCAGCTACTACAGCGTCATCATCGCTGAAGAACATCCGTCGATGCTCTCACCGACGTTGTGCCGGTGGTAAATTTTACCCTTCATTACTAGGCATTCTTCAGCACTCTGTCCCAAGTATTCCTGATCCCCCCGGGACTCCTGGGGGTGTGAAAAAAAAATTTTTGTCACCTCGAATCTAATCTCGACGAATCGAGATAACTCCGAGGTCGAGTGCAATCTATTTTCGTAATATATCGAGGGTTTATCCCCCGTGGCAGATGCCCAAGAACTTTCAGTGATGGAACAAGACAGTGTATCAAAGTATTTCTTACGGTTAAACCTGTACATAAAATACTCGAATGATATTGTTAAAGATAAGTCACAACTAGATGATGAAAATTAAAATAATTGAGGAAAAAAACGAGTTGCAACTTTCAATTCAAAAAATTTTCAAACTTTTCAGTTCAACTGCTAAATTCTCTCAAAATCCAATTTTCCGTAGCTTCTCGATAGTTTATAGAAAATATTTATAATATATTTATAAAATATTTATAATGACAACTGAATAATCAGCCCGATGATTATTTGACGTCGATGAATTGTTATCAGATAACAATTCGTATAATTACCTCGAATTAAAATAGAAAAATCATGGTGATGCTGGTGATTGCCGACGGAACCTGTTGCCACTGGAGTAAATGGTGGGTGTGCCTAGTGTTGTTTTAGTGATTCCTGTTGACGCAGACCACTGGGCTGACCTGAGTTGACAAAGACAGAAAATGAGAAAAGGGGAGGCGGAGCCGACGGATACGTCGTGCTTCCAGTTGGGGGTGAATCCTAATACCCAGATAATGGGAAGTAATTGCGAGGGATCAGAGCAACCGTTGCTACTCTGTAGAATTCGGGGCATGTAAAGGGGGATTTTCGGGGTGATGAGGGGGGGTTAGTGAGGGGGTTGAGAGTGAAAGCGAGTGAAATACACCGGCAACGAACAGCGGGGATACGTAATCACGTTATCGGCACGAAATCACGGGGCACACGTTCTCAAATACGAGATATCGCTATGAACAAGGGTGTGCGTGACGTAGGGAGATGAATAGTTGAATAAAAAAATTACGGGAATTGGGCGAAATTGATGGAAAAAGTTTCCAGCGCTTCTCCATCGGATATCGAGTTGATTGTTTTGTTCTTTGATTAGTCTTTAATTAATCGTGGGTTTTTTTTAATCGGGCGGTGAAGGTTTCGAGACATCGGGTGGATAAATTAATTGTTCATTTGATTCTCCGATTTTTTTATTGGTTTTTTCGGTAATATTTACGAGTAGGGTCAGCAGGTGATTATATACTGAACAATTGGAATTTTTAATAACAAAGTCGCTGGGAATTTGAGTGAGAATTTGGGAATTCACGGGAAGTGGGAAATGTAAATGCAGGATCAATCGATTAGGGGATATTTCAATCAATAGTATTTTAAATGAAAAATGGGGAATATGTTAGAGTGGTAATTGAGGAAAAATAAAATAAATGTGAGGAGTGGACTGAGGGTGGAGACACGTAGACGTAACATCAATTTTATCCTTTGATGTTTGCGATAATCCACTCAGGCATTTCCATTGAATGCCAAGTTATAGGTATAGGATGTCCCCAGGTACCGGACTGTTCACAGTTGAGTGGTTGCTCATAAATTAATGTGATCACGGCTACTGTTTACGATGTTTATTAGATTGAGTTAAGAAGGCTATTATTAAGGCACCGTAAATAGAGGGACAGATGGATTTACGCTCTCTGTGGAGTGCGGAATGCGACGAAAATAATGAAATAAAGGACAATGAAGTGGTGGATGGAGACGGGGTACCAACGAGATCAAGGAACAGAGGATGACAAAAAAAATGAAAAACTACAATGGGAAAAGGGGCAAATTGCAGGGTGAGAGGTGATGGTGTACGAACCTAAATGCAGTGGGCGTGTTCCATTTACTTTCATTATTTTTACCCGTAGGAGGGCTCAAACGATACGCACCTCTCGCATTATGTACCACCTTTCGTACGAACATATTAAATTCAACCTGCACTATGTGGCGAGAATACCACTAATCATTTTTTTTTTTCTAAATCTTCTTTCATTTTTTACTCTGTTTTCACTCTTCGCGGTTGAATTACCGCACTCCCGGATATATTCAATAAAAATTCCGTTACTTTTCCGCTATTCCTCGTATTGAAAAATAAAATTCGATGGTAAATTCCGGAATTTTTATCGGTAATTCAAATGACAATTACAAATGGCGGTTATAGGCAAGCGTTTCTCGGAAATTCAACGCAATTTTTTATAATCGATAGAGGAATTTTAATTGGGAAATCACAGGATTTTTAATGCATTCCACACGTTGGTGACTGCGTCCTCTGGAATTGAATGATTTAATTCAATTATCTCAATCCCTCGATCCGAAATCCATTGATTCTCTCTATAAAGTATTTCCAATTCGATTGAAATATCACAGCTGTGAGCGGGTCAATTTTTTTCTCGGTAAATCCATTGATCAGGTCTAAATCAGTTTCATTAAAGATCAATTGATCCGATAATTATTGATTTAATGGGAAAATACGAGGGGCTTCATCACAATGATTACAATAATTATAATCATGAAGAGAGTTACCCCGTCCAAAAAATGGCAGAAATTTCTTAAAAATAAATTCTTTCCCATTAATTTAATTCCAGAGGGTGAGTGTGCGGTGATTTAAAAAATGATAAAGATATTTTGGGGCGGGAGATTTAATAAATGTCCTTTTGATAATTTTGATTATTGAAATTCCAGCGACTCACGTATTTATCGTAGCCCCAACAACGAGAGGGTCATGATTGTATGTGCAACGTTAGGCTAACAAGCTGTCAAGACGTCGGCGCGTGTCACTCGACTCCTCATCGTTGGATAAATCTCCCTCTTGATAGGTCCTGTGTGTTTTGGCCACGTCTTGATGTGTCTCCCCGCACACTGGGATTGTCCCAGCCTAATGGAGCAATATAGAGGTAAGGCTCGGATGGCCACGTGCCGCTTAACTTGATCACCGAGCAATCTGTTCTCGTTTCAACCTCGGTCTCTTGCCCACTACAACCTCACCAACAACATTGTCGTAGTTGTCCAGTGAGCACCAGTCGAAATATGTACCTGATTCGATTTGGCGTCAAAAGGGATGGAGCCGGTTGCTGAGTGGCGTGAGAAACCAGTGGTTTCCCTGATTTGATCAATCATTTTCCAGAATTCTTTTTTATTACCACCCACAATCCACCACCTACCCACCACCCACCAATCAAATGCAATTATTCATCCCTCAAAATCAAAAACAATTCGGGGTAAATCATCCATTTACCCCGAATTGTTTAATAACGATTTATTATTCCATTGATAATTTATTAAGAATAATGAATATAAGTGGATTAAGAAATTTTTTACGAAATTTAGAGAAGCGGTTGATGAGTGAGAAGATATCAGGTAAATTGTTAAAGCAATAATTGATTGGACTGGAGTTAATTGGGGATGTTTAAGATGGATTGATTAATTACATTGCCATTCATAGCGGTAAGAGTAAATTGTGATAAAATAAAAATTTCTGTGACTTAATGAGTGATAAATGAATGAACAATGGAAGTGGAGTAGTGCACATGTCCGGTAATGAGACACGAAAGTCTCAACGATGTGTTTTCACCCGATTTTTACGCTTTTCTCTGTGGAGCGGAGTCAGAGAGCCTCCAATTAGTCACTGGTTATTTAGTTACGAGTTTTACCGGTCCCTCGAGGATTAAAAAAAAAAATAAATAGCCGTAAAGGGTGAGATTCGTATCGCTACGACGTGTTTAAAAATAATTACCTAGAAAGATTCAGCGATAGTCACGGACTCCTCACCTACGGGTCGAACTATGGAACTCTTCTTTTTTTAAATTTTGCCCCCTTCGTCCCGCAAAGCCCTTGGGTTCTTCTGCTGTCAAGTGGCTACTCGTTTCACTGGGTATAAAGGCACACACAACAGTTCGAACATCCCTTTCTGTCAAGGCTAAAACAACGAGAACAAACAGCACTTCTTGTTGAAAATCTTCTCCCTCGGTCTTACCATCGCTGGCTTCTTCCACTGGGACTCACTCTTCCGGCACTCCAGGAGCACCCACTCACCCTTCAACCACTCTATCATCAGCGGTTAGAGAAGTAAAGACTCGAGACACTTCATTCTTTTTTTCTCTTCCTCTCTATTCTTCTGGGTGAGTGGAAAAATCCGTTTTGCGTCCGCCGCGGGGAATGCAGCGCAGATTTTCCTATTCGTCGAAATTCTGGAGTTCTGGGTTTAATAATATATTCAATCAATTCTTGAAGATGAAAAAAAATTGAAGAAAAGGTGGAATTGGAATGCGTCAGTATAAAATAATAAATGGCGATAATAATTTTAATATTTTTTTATTGTTTACACAGAATTCAGGTGTTATCCTAATTTTTCATTGCGATTGATTAATGTAGCGGAAAGACGAAAGACATTTTAATCTCTTTAGGAATAAATTGAGGCGCCTTAGGTACACTCTCACATACTCTCGATTTCGCTCATTTTTCCCTCAAAATAATTCCGAGTAATTTAATCAAATCGTCACAGTTTGAACCTCGACAGAGTAATCCTACCTGTATTCATAAAATATCTATTAAATCCTGGAATCTCCAAGTTGCTACAGATCATTTACTAAAAATACCAACTTCTTAGATTTTTATTACTCTTTGGCTCCCCTTCATCCTCGCTCAATCGAATAATTAAATTGTTACATTGAGAATATAATCCGTAGGTATAAAGCACATGAGCTGGGCTGTCCACGCATTAGAGAGCGGTTTAATATCCTGCAATTATTTTATGACCACAGAATTTATCGTTTAATTTCCCATAATATTCTCGATAGCCTTCAATTTTTTAGTGAGACAGTATCAGACCTCTTCTCTCTTAATCACCAATTTCTCCCTCACTCCATCCAATTACAAGCCAAAACAACAAAAACAAAATCCACAGAGAGAATAAAAAGTTTCTTGATGTTTCAAATGAAATGAAATAATTGAAAAAATCATGTTTTTACGTTCAAGAAAATTTTCTCTGTTCAACAACCTAACAATTATCGTAATTTCCGTAATTATCAGTTAATCAGATCAACATGTGCCTACCGTAAAATGAAATAACGCAGCATTAATGCGGTAAATTATTATTTACAAGAGAAATGCACATAGACAACTGCGGTGGACCTGTCTACCGCAGATAATACACTGGATAATATAAAATCCTCATCCAACAGAGTTATTAATTCGATTGTAAAAATTGTCGCTCAATCGTGGATTTCATTGCAATCATCAGTAACAAGGATAAACTAATAAACGAAAAAAATAATGAAATGTGAGATTTGGAAATTGAACACAAGAGTAGATCGAGTATAAGGTTTCAGCGTAAAAAAAATTGTTACTCTCAATCAATATCAAATGAGATAAAAAAAAAAAATTAATATCACCTCAGAACGATATTTCCCAGGGGATTTATTTGATTCCTCCTCCTCTCCTTCCCAGTGTCATACGTTTCTCCCATTTTTTCCCATTTTTTTCCCATTTTTTCTCATTACTTTAATAAATGCATTGAATTTCGTCGTTAAATTTTCTTCGATCCATAACACTCCGTTTATAAAAAAAATTATAGCACAAAACTTAACGCGCATATGTACAAACTGGCACGCGTAGGGGTCTATCAGCCTGTTCACTCGATCATCAGTGATTTCGTTAGATTCTCTCGAAATTTATTCACCTCGTGGGGCAATTTTCATTCTTTTTGAATGGAAATCACGAGAATTCAGTGATGAAGTGATAAAACAACTAGTCGCACATCAAATATGAAACCCGGATCGAGCTAAAAATTCGGAATTTCCAAATCTTATCACTTCACACCTGAATTCCCACTATTGTATGAATTTCCCTAAAATATGAGATACTCAATTCCCATTCTGAATAAATAACGTCGAATTAATATCTGCAATACATCAACATATACTTATCTTCAATTGCCTATAATCTTTTGATTCCTCATTAGTCCTCGAAATAAAAAAAAAAGACATCAGAAATTCCCTTAATTGAAAAAAGCCTACAAATAGTCAGTAGAGTCAATGTAAAGAGGGTCTGGAAGCCCGCTGTTTGAGTCTAGCAAGAAGTGCTTGCTCTCCAGTCTCATCTCTCGCTGCAGATCCCCTGAAGCTCTCACTCCTGTACTTGTCCCTGAGGAAGATTCTCCTCTCCTCCTTGTACTTCTCGATTCTCTCCCTGCACCTGGGATCACCGAGATCAAGCCCCAGATTTTTCAGCTGGAGCTTCTCATTGCTCTGCGATGAGGACATGGATAGGCCACCACCGACATTCGGTGTGGAGTTGTGCTGATAGTCAGGTCTGTCAAATACCTGTTTGATCCTGGGTGGCTCCTCAGTCATTCTGTTGAATTTTCCCTCGTCGAGAGATCGACTGAGAGCAGCCCTGGTGGCACGTGCGTGCCTCGCCCTGAGACAGGGTGGTAGATACTGATTGGAGCTCTCATCGGACTTTCTGGATGCCTCCTCGTACCTCATCCGCCTCTCCCTGACACCCTCCCTCCCATATTTCTCCTTCTGAAGTGGAGTTTCACTGCCAACGCCCCCTGACAGCCTCTGGAGCGCCAGTTCCTGGAGGATCGCTGCAGTATCTCTCAGCACCACTGACTCATCAATGGGCGATGATGTATTCGAGAAGGTGCAGGAGGAATCCCTGGAGATTTCTGAGGCTCCCTCAGGATCATGGGCAATCTCACATGCCTCGGCAGCATTCTCAGAGGGTATAACCACCTCGTCACTCCTCATGGAATTCATATTGATGTTTCTCTTCAGGTGTTTCGATAGGTACCCTGGACCCATCCCCTGTTTCAAACTCCGGACGCTCTGTGTCTCCCTCTCCTTCATCAATTGATTGTTCTCGTCGTGGGATTTGTCGGAATTTTTCGGTGATCTTGTGGTGGAGTCATTCAAATTACTGCAGTATACGTTGTCGTTGTCCAGGGGTCGACTGTCGCACTGGGGTTGATCATTTCCATTTTTCTGATCTCTGTATTTATCCTCCTCGAGACCTGGCGTTTCTTTATCGTTAACCAGTTGACACATACACGAGTCCTTGCACTCTGTCATGTCGTAGATGTCCTCGTTGGGCTCCTGCAGGGGACTCTCTGTCATCTCGCTCCCTCCAACGCACGACGTGTCCGTTTCCACTGTAGAGCCCATCGTCAAGTCCAGAGACGTCCTCGAGACATTATCCGACACTGAACGCTGACGTGGTGGATCTGTAGCTATCGCAGCAACTGTTCCCTCCAGGGGATCACTACCTGTTGGAGTCGTCACTGACTCTGTCGTTCTCTCGATCATCACCCACTCCCCAGAGTTCGTTGTTGTCTCCAGGGGCTGTGTATCAGTGTTCGTGAAAATTTTATCTGAACTATCGCAAAGAACGAATCCTGAGTCTGGAAGGTCCTCCAGGGTTTGCTCGCAGGACATCGGTGAGTCCAGGTCGGTGGCACTGGACGGTAAATTACTGGCTGGTGGATCATTTCGGTGAGGAATCGAGGGACCCACTGACGTCAAGCCCTGACTTGGAGGAAATGAATCACGACTCGTGCACAATGATTTTTCATCGTTCTCTGGAGTGATATCATCATCCTCTGGTGCTTTTTCTCCCTCCTGGAGATTTACAGATCCACCCTGATCTTCGATCCCACAAAAATTATCACAAGACATCTCTCGATCCTGATCGCCACACTTTATTGTCACAGGCACACCATTAATATTATCCGACCTAATGCTACATTGACTAGTGTTGCTGGATAATTTCAATTCCCCCAGCTTTCCCGGCTCCACACCAGATTCATCAGAAAAATCGAGGGGCAGTGTGAAGCTTCGAAAGCTTATTCTGGGGCTGTTGGAGGCTCCTGGAGATATTGGGGTAGGCTGGAGGGTTTGGGATGGACTGATGGGTGTCGAGGCCTCCGACAACAGCGGCAGATACCCCGGAGTCGTCAGAGGCGAGGGCGTTTCCATCCCATGGACATCAGCCGAGACCATTATCTGATCTGGACTCTGACTGTCAATAAACCTGAGCTCCACGTCGCAGTGCAGACGCTCCTCTAGTCTCGAGCGTTTTCTCTTCGATGCTCCAGTCACTGAGATACATGGTGGAGGATCATTTCTCTGACGTCTCGGAGAGGCCTCCAGTGACGCCACTATGCTTTCCTCCTCCGAGAACATTCTCATCTCCCTCTCCTCCAGATCAAAATTCAATTGGATCTCTGAGAGGTCTAGGGGAGAAGCAGAGCTGGGGGCATCCCCGAGGTGATCGAAGTACGAGTCGTGGGAAACTGATCGACTGTGGCCACAGGGTCTACTAGGTGGAGGTATCATCAGGGGACACAGGCTGTCCTCTCCATCGAGGCTGTCAGCACTCTTGACTGGTCTCAGTCGTCTCAACGAGTTCAGGGAACTGGGAACAGTCTCAGACTGGGGTGGAGTGCCCACTTGTCTCGTTTTTCCCCTGACACCGAAACCACCTCTACCGAATAATGCACGCCAATTGAGAGAGGGCGAACGTTTCGACGAGTTTCTCTTCCTCGGGAGATCGATGACAGTGTGATAGTGAAGGGGTAGACCTGCTGTACCTGCACCTACCTCGATGTACTCAGAGTCTGTTCTCAGGTTACGATTCCTGGCTTCCTCGAGGCTTAGCAATCTCGCTGGAGTGGTGATTGCCAGGGATTTAGGACGACCCACTGGGCCATCACTGAAAATCAACTCGGCGTAGCACACGAGAAATTCAGTTACCACTGCCTGAACACCGACACCCTGAAGTGCTGCCACTCCACCCACCTCCAGCTCCTTGCAGCGCAGGAGATTTGGAGCCCATACTATTGCCACATTTCTTGGTGTCATTCCTGTCTCACCGCCTCTGGCTGCCACTCGCACCAGGTGACGCATCAGGTACTCCAGGGTCCTGTAGTGGGGTGGAGGTAGCTTTCTGACTGCGTCTCTCATTCTTCGAAGTCTCTCGGCATCCGTTCCAGCCTGAACAGCACTTACGAATGTCGAGTACAGCTGATAGGTGCACAGAGGATTGGGTAGCTCTCTGAAATACATCTTCAAGAGGGAAGCAACCGAGTGAATATCCTGAAGAATACTCTCGTCTGAGTGCAATGCTGGCACTCGATCCTCATCGAAGGCATGACGCAGTCGTTGGATATTCGACGTTACACCACTCAGACGATAAATACCGTCCACCAGGCCGTGGGTCTCAATGAATTCGGCGCAGCACGTCAGCACTGCAGGCACATCCTGGCCGGAGTTGAGCAGATGCTCCCCCAGATCACAACCAAAAACTCTCTCCTTGAGGATACCAGATTGTTTGAGGCGTCTTCGCGATGGCCGATTCAGGATGAACGATCGAAAGAATGCGATGAGCTTGCCGTGCTTCCTCAACACTGGCTTCACTGGTAATCTCGATCGAACGGTTGTAGAGACCGTCAGGTGGCGAGGTACTTTGTCACCGATTACAGCAACGCACTCGGCTGGAAAGAAGCCCACGGCGAAGCCCTTCTTTCCTCGCCACCAGGTGCTCTCCCCTGGCGGTGGCATATCAATAACTGATATCATGTCACCAACCTGGTAACAACAAATTTATCATTTAAATCGTTATTCAATGACTTAATGATTATTTAATTATGAATTTGAGATTATAAATAAATTCTACCTGAAACGTAATCTCATCCTGTGCCTGTGCAGCATAAGGCCGCACAGCATAAGCAGCAGCAACAGCTGGAGTATTGATGGGACAAGAGTCAGACTCAGGAACGAGAATTCTTCTCCCTCGGTTGTCCAGTTGGAGCCAATTGAGAACTGGACCGCAGTTGAGACCATCGTGATTCAATTGTGAAAATCGTTCCAGATAATTGGTTATTAATTCACGAGTATTATCGGACTGCGTCTCAGGCAGTTTAACAAGTGATGAGAATTTTCGATCGAATATGCAGCGGTGCAGCTGCTTGTCGAACATTACAAAATTGTCGTACGACCTTTGGAGGGTCCAGCAGGTGTCACCGGATGTCACACGAACAGCGAAACCACCGTCATTTGGTACTTCTGTTACTGACACCTGGAGTCCATCCAGCTCGACGTGCTCGTAGTGGAAGTGGGCGCACTCATCGAGTTTCGGAAATCGTGCCACACTTCCCATATTGCTTCCTGAACTCACTGGAGTTCCCATCTCCTCGGTTCGATTACATCCCAGACCCTGGAATTATCCAGAAAAAATTTTATCAAGTCAATAACGAAATGCCAAACGAACACGCCAATCTAAATCCTCTGGTTTTGTTAGAAATTCATTTATCTCGAAAGCTATTGATTTTTGGAGGAAAGTTTTTTTCTCAGAAATTTAATTCAGCCCAAAAAAAAAAACTCAGGCTTTTTTCTGTCACTTGATAGTTTCCGAGATGAGGAAATAATTGAAAATAGTGAGAATGAATTTACTCTGGCGTTTATTAATCGTTTAATGTGTTAAATCTGAAGGAAAATTTTTGTTATAAACAAAATATCAAAATTCCAGGGACATTTACACTATTTTGGGATAAAATTCCACAAAGATATTTTAATTTGCGCTCAGACAGATTAAAAATTCTTCCAGTCTATCCACCACACAATCACTAAATGTCAGAGTTATTTTTACAGTAAATTGTTTTCATCGCCAAATTCCAAACATTTATTCGGACCGCGTACAACGACAAGGACACAAATATCAGAAGACGGGGCAAAATGAAATTGTCTCATTAATTCCCAGGGACGATTTTTCCAGTATTTTAATTACCTACTGTTGAATCGGCTCATTAAAAACCCAATAATTAAAAAATATGATATAAAATAAAACAGTCAGACCAAAAAATTCCAATATTTCTCTTGGATCATAAAATAGTCACAATTACAATTAATTGAATAATTAATCATGAGTGCCATTGAATGTGTGAATGGCTCGAGAGATAAAAATTATTGACAGTCATTCGTATTTGTCATTCCACCGTACAAAAACATCGGAGAAGTGTCTATCGACTTAAAACGAGATCCATTTTGCCCCTATCCCCTATCCCGCATGCGTTGAACATCCCGCCTTTGGCTCCTCTCTCCCCAGACGTTTAACAACACCCCACCAGTCAACAAATTAAAAAATTGTCAGTACAACAAAGCCATTAGCCAACTCCACAATAACTCGTGTATTAAATATCGATTAATTACGATAATTGTGGTAATCTGGAGTACCTCGAGATGACACGAACAGCTGCTGCAGCCACTGAGCACCCGCCACATTGCCATACGAGTTATTCTAATCACAAATGCATTAATCACCACGTTATCATTAAAGAAAAATATAATTCCTGGATTGATAGTGGCTTAGTGCCCAATTTTGGGACAGCGACCACTTCGTAGCTGTCATCTGCATGTCGTTCGATTATCGAGGCACGCCGAGGGGATGATATTTGTCATACAGGGGGATGAATGCCCCATAGTAATCAATTATTTATATCTGTACCATTTTCTTGAGCACATCGTCAACGCAACTGGGTCAGAGTCTGGGTACTGGGTGTATTCGCGGCTGTTTTTGTTGATGAGCAGAATCCCACGCGCATCGATATTTCGATCTGCACTTCATTCCCTACACGAATTTTTCGAATTTCTCCAATGATTACAAAAAAAAACTAGGGGAAATCAATTTTTCAACTGAATTTTCAATTGCAGCGTGGACCGCGATTTTTCAGTGGTAGAATTTTTTTATGAAATTTCTCTCGGATTCAACTTTTCACGGAGGCGAGCGTGGGCGCAGAGGGGAATCCGAATTTAATGGGGAAGGGAGGAATGGGTGGCGAGACCATTGGAATAATCATCGGGACAAGTGTACGAGGTGAGTATGTTAATTTGCCTCTGGTTTTCACAATTCCGTAGGCGAGAGAGACTCTTCGAGCCTATATTGGATTGGTCGAGGTGCGCGGTATTCTATCGATTTGCTCTCCCGCGACAGCTTTCAAGTCCGAGGGATGGAGCACTTCCGCAATGCGTGGTCCATCCGGTCTGTTAATTCAGGGTTGGGGAATTGTCGGGAATTAACTCTGGGGACTCCAGAGAACTCGAGTCGATTGATACGAGTTAAATACTTAATCAGTGTATTTAAATTTCACTGGTGACAAGAAATCCTCTAAACTGATAACAAATCCATCTTAATTCCCTTAAATCCATTAACTTCGCCGTCAGCTGGATGATTGTAAATAAATCGTTGATTATAGAATATAATTGGAATACAATTCCTTTTCCTGGATATTAAATAGGCTTGAGGCCGTCGACGTTTTCCATTGAAAATACTCATTACCGGGATAATTACACGAGTGAGTCGTGAAACTGTTGAATTATGGATTAAAATGACGAGATATTGAACGGAGGTGTACCTTAGCTGCCTGCGGCTCGATGTCGGTGAGCCGTTGGGCCCGTGGTCTCTCAGAATGTCCTGGCATCACCAACAATCCTCCTTAATAAATAACAAGAACGAGACCCCCTCCAGAGCTCGCAATCCCTCAGTACAGCTCCATCGATCTCAAATTCATCAGTGAAATACCAGTAATTCTGAGCGTATCATCTCTGCAATCAAAAGACATGAGTCAGTGATAAATTTCCCCAGATGTTGAGACTGGAGTGACGACTTCAGAGTGGAGTTCTAGGTTAGGACGTTGGCAGTACCCATTAGGCTAATAAAAACAAAAGAATAATGATCCAGTGCAATACCCTGATATCACTCCATTACTCATTCAACTCCATTTGCCTTGGTACCACCCACAGAATTATTACACCGAAGATTCCAGTCCTATCACTCCTGTTATGTCACTAGCACTGGTAACGATTATGCTGGCACGATACTAATGACTGGATATCACTGCCATTTCCTCTCAATCATCATGACATTTTTCTTTTCATCCACAATTGACAAGGTGGTCTCGATTTCCTCGAGAATCATATCGCCAGATGTGGAAACTTCCTCATCAGCACAGACGGATAATTCGATATTTCAGGGAAATCAATATCAATTGAGAGATCGAGAGGAAGAATCAATCGTCCATGGAATTTTTATTGTCCAGCTCTTCCGTTTCTTTCTTTTTCATTTGTTTTCTTCTATAATTCAGTCACAAAGTGCCAGTGAGACAACTCCAGTTCAACTTTTTTATTATCCCATTATCTCGGAAATAATCGACGCGAGACGAAAATGGTAGAGAAATTATTTGGAGCTTGTTAGATTTGCGATAAAAACATTCCGGTGATTTATCGTCGAGAAATCAATGGTTTTGGGGAAAATGGGGGTTGTAGAGGTGAAATTGAAATGGTATCGTTTTAACACATGACTTCTGAATTCTTGATGTCTGGTAAATAATTTACTCACATGCAACTGGAGTTCTGTCTTTCGTCTGATTTGGATTGGGAGATGTAGCTGGAGGTGTTGGTGGCACTTGGATAATTAGGGATCACTGGGTTAATTGTATGGAGCACTCACACCTTCGTAAACAAAAGTATTTGGATGGATTTTGATAGTCCACTGACAGCAGTGAATCTGAATCATTATTGGGGCACTCTATTTTTCACTGGGCACTTTCGTGCACTTGCTACTGCAGCTGGATGCAGATGTGGGGCTATAGATGTTGAGAATTGAATTTTTTTTTTCTTTTGGGGGGGGACTTTATCTACGCAATGGTTGCTCTTGCACCAGCCATGGCAGAGCAACCACTGGGACGCGCTCGGAAATAGACGAGATCTGGTGGATTTGATTCACGAGTTTGCCATCTCCGTTTTCGGTGCGAGAGCAACGGGGATGAAGCACTCGTCGGCGACGAGGTGATGAACGTACTTCATTGTATGTTGTCGAACACACCCCACTTTTTTACGGGGTGGGGCGCAAGGGGTCGCGCACTGTGGAGGGAAATTTAAATCATGCTCGACACGAAAAAAAATTGTTCACGTCGTTTTGTACAGTAAAATGCAGTTTAAAAATAATAATCCGCTCCTGATGATTCATTATTTGAACTGGTTTTTAAAATTTTATTATTTTGAATTTTTTCAGTTATAAAACTCTGAAGAACTCATAATTGATAATTTTTATGTAAAATCGGTAATAAATTACACATAATCGTGGTGGAGGTATCGCTTACGTCAGGAATCTCTAGGGTTTCACAGATTTCTTTTCTGAAACATTCGTTGACGGATTGTGAGACGATTGCCTCGAGGGCTGAGCTCAGGATTTTGCATTTTGTGAAATCGTCGTCGAGATCAGTGAAATTGTTGTAGAATGTTGTTCTGTCAGTGCGGAGGGTGTATTTGGTGTGGGGATGGAGGGACTGTAAATTAATCAAATACTCCATGAGGTGTTCCACCAGGGGTCCAAGGCCCTCACCTGCGAATGGATGCTGGAGCAGAAGAGTGTCACCTCAAAATATGCGAACAATACAAATGGAAAATCAATTCTGGTATCGAATTCGTACCTCAATTTTGACAGACAAATAATCCCTCAGGTGGGAAAATTTATCAGCCCCTGGGTTTTCCGAGTTACTCCTCAATTCAATGAAATTCCCATCAAAATACGTCTTGTAGACAGATGGAATTTCTTGCGTTCCTCTCGATTTCTTCAGAATTATCTCACCAAGAATCGTTCCATTCAGAGTGGAATCATTAAAATCGAGGGTCAATACCTCCTCCAGCGAAAACTTGGTCTCCCCCTCGTTCGTTATTTGCACCCAGCAGTATTTTCCTCTGGGAATTAGCTCGATGTCGATGTGACAGTATTGTTTACTTCTCTTGGATTGTTTCTTCGTTATGGATTGACTGAGATTCGAGACAATCTGGGGGAAAATTTTTCGACAGAAAATTTTTTAATATTAATTGTAATTGGATTAGCTTCAATAATTCAATAATTAATTAATTCTTTGAAGAAAATAAAAACCTTCGTCACGATATTGATGCATATTGAGACGTCAATTAGGGGGAGATCCATTGCCATTGGCAGGAAGACTAAGACTAATTCAAGTCAACCGAAAGCTTTAATTTGACTCATGACAAAAGGATTTTATTTGTTGAGTGTAACGATCGTTTCAAAATTTGGCGAAATAATTATAAATTACGATTTTTAAATTTTATCAATAAACAATATGATTACGATGAAAAAATGGTATTCAAATACTGAATAGACTGCAGTAGTGGCTGATGGGGCGTATAATTGAAACGCAAAATAATTATCGATTCAAAAACATGTATTCTTCGATAAATAACTCACTGAAGACACGAATGTGTCCGATGAAATCTACCAAACGACCAATTTATGGAAACCGAGGAGTAATTAATGGTAGCTCGAAATATTACAACGCATAATTTAAGTATTAATACAGTTATATTACTTAAAGCCTACATTGTTAAAAATTTTATCTGAAAATTCGAAGGAGCTGCCGTCGAAGAACAATTGCTGAAAAATTCAAGTATGTTCCGCTGATTCTGAGATGAGTATTCCAATTTAAACAGTAAATGTTTATTGACCCACAAGTTCCTCGAATTTTCCTCAAATTTTTAACACCATACAATCTAAACTTTCTGTGAATTCAAGCGAGACTTATTTGATACAAGACTATTTATTATTCGTTTTATATATTCTCTCGTTACGATGATGAATCACAAGTCCCTGGAATTTAATTTCCTTACAAAAGAGAAACAATTAATTCAGCAGCCATTGAATCCCAAAGTTCGAAATATCAAATGTTCTTGTTCCTTCCTGAGACGACGATTTTCAATTTAACTTTGAGAGATGTGGACTCTTCAACCTCCTCCATACAACGAAGATAACGAAAGTCAGTGGAGCAGTCGAATTATTGGGGTATTCATCTACTTCTCCTCGCACCACTCGTTCTCCTTGCGAACCTGCTCTTCCTCAGCGGCTGTGAAGTCGTTCTTAATGTTGAAAGTCTTGCGGATTTCCTCTGGGGTTTTACCTTTGATCATGTTGGCTACTGTCTTGCAGGTTACATCCAAGAGACCCTTGATGTCCAGGTAATTGGCGGAGAGGATCAGCTCGAAGAGTGTGCCCTGATCAACCTGGAAGAATGAATTAATTTACAAGTGATGAATGATGAGTCGAAAACAATTAATTTAATTTCAGCAATTAATTCTTTTACCTTCAGGAAATCAGCGTCCCAAGAGCTGATGTCATCAGTCCTCTTCTCTTTGTTCTCATCGTCCTCTGGTGGTGGTGGATCGTCCTTATGATAAGTCGCCCACTGGATGACCTTCCTGAGAATTGCCGAGTTGACATTCGGCAGGGGTACAACCTCTTCCTCGTCCTCGTCCATTCCCAGATCCTCCAACATAGTCTTAATCGTCACCGAGCACTTGGCAATCTCCACGTCCACCTCGAAAATCTCACCATCAGAACTCTGAAGCTTGATATTTGGCATCTGAAAAAAAAAATCACGATGCCATCCTGAAAAAGCCCCAATAGTCGTCGATGTTTACCTCTCCTTCCGAGACTTCCTATTTCATTAAATTAATCTCACTCCTTTATTCCCGAAAAATATTGATTCTCGAAAACTGAAACTCAAACATTGAAACACACAAAACCCCGACAAAGAGAATTCCAACCCCCATACCAACGGATTTCCTCCATTTTCCAGTGATTCTCACTGGGAAAGTCCACTATTGTAATTTCCTCGAGAGGAAAAGCTGGATTTCAAGCAGAATGCAACCGCCAATTTTTTAACACGTAAAACCGTCATGGCCACAACCACAACAGGCGTTTATCATCTGCGTTCTGCCTGAAATCCCATAACGACTTTCCAGAATTTCCACCGATTCATCATTAATTCGAGACAATGCAATGGAGGTCTTACCTTGAAACCGTTTAATCTGGTCTGCGAGCAATAGAAAATGACGAGTGTCAATCGAATTGTTGGAGGATGTGATCAAAGTTGGATTTACCCACGTCCAATAAATGCTGTCCAGATATCACGGAATATCCTGTCCTTTACGGCCTTGTGCTCGTGAATCTTCTCCGTCTCTTGTTCCTCGTACCTTCCCCTGAGCCCCCCGCAATGTTGCCAGCGCAGCGTTGCCAGAGGCGTAACGACGCCGAGCGGGAAAACCCGCGACATTTGAACTTCCACGACGACATTTCCGATTTTTGCAAATATCTCCAGATTGCATGAGTAAAAAAAAAATGTTATGAGAAAATTTTTTATAGATCGCGGTGAGAGCGACAAAAAATTTCCCACAAGATTTTCTCTATCTCGTATAGATTTCAATTTATCTACGATTTAGTTCTATGATTAAAATGCCAATGAAAAACGTCGGGAAATTCTTCTGAATGTATTTATTTAATATCTTGCGAAGTATCCACAAAAAAAATGAAAAATAAAAAATCTTCCTACAAGAATCTGAATAAATGCTTCACTGCCCGCGCGACAATAATGAATAACTCGTTAATTAATTATTATTAATTTAAAAATTTATAATTTGACATTCTGAGTGTCTTGCCCTCACAACACACCACATATACTCAGTATACGCCTCCGGGAAATCAATCTGATGCCGCAATTAACTGAAATCCACTTAATCTCTCGTATTTTAATGATTGCATTAATCAGTAACATAATAATAAAGTAATAATCATTCCTATCATCTACGGAACGAAGGGAAAAGCACGTGCGAGCCCCCAGCCACTGAAGAGCTCTGAGATTACTATTCAATCATCTAATTTAAAATCAGCCACTCTCCACCCCCGATACCTTCACAATAAATCATCATTTATTTAACGTTCTCCATAATAATCACACATCGTCGTTAAACTATCACGTGCCTCTGTGAATTCCCTGCAGATTGACTATCGATTGCTGTAAAGACAGGTAAATAAAATATACATTTGTCATTGTTCAATTATTTTATCTTCCATCCATGTTCTTCCAAGTTATTCTGAATTATTCGATAAATTCCTTACTGAGGCAGCACGATTAGAAAATTCGACAGATGATGTCAGCAACAAAGTGCTAAAGTCAAAACGAACATTTCAATGAAACATCAATTTATCTCGATAACTATTGATCTCAGATAATTACGTCACAGAACTTTTCTGTAGCCAATTAAATTATCGACAAATAAGTCCTCCGAGGTTTTCACCTTGAATCCAGAGGTTTCAAGATAAATTGATGATAATCATCAGGCAAATGTTAATTTCAAATATCTCCCTTTATCCCTTCGTTGCGGCTGTTAAAAAATGATAGGTAATTTACTGATCCTCGTCGCCAAGCTCCTGCTTAACTTTATTAAAATCAAAGTCCTCTCCAGTGGCGCGTTTGAATAAATCAAGAACGTCGAGGCAAGTGGTCTCGAAGTGCGTTGTTGCATCGTAACTAGTGGATATGAACAATTGGCTGTCGACACCGTCATCCGTTGGCTTGTAATAATCGCAGACTGACACAAATTTCTGGGCTATTGGGCCCAACAGATCAAGACCAGGCTTGATCTCCAGCTCGGGATTGCTCGTCTCCACTGTCGTCGAGACCATCGCAATGAACCATCCCTTTGCTGCTACCAGGTGGGTGTATGACACCAGGGAGACGTAGATATCAGACTTGCGATTCACTTGCTTCTGGGGAATGATTATTTGAGTCGAGAGCGAGTCATTCGTGTGCGGGAGTGGGTGATTCAGCAGGCAGATTGCACGCACCACTTGGCCCACTTTTTTCACTTTGTCTGGAACGTACGTCGGATCGCAGAACACCTGCTTGCAGACTGCAATCTCCTCGCCTGAACGAACACCAACGACCTGTAATTTTTTTCACACAACCTGTAAAATATTTTGGAACTTTTGGGATCTTTGGGATTTTTTCCTGAAGCCCGAGTTAACAGAATTATTTTCCAACAAAATGATAATTCCGCAAGTTTGAGGATTTACCTTTCCCTCCTTGATGATAATCTCGTCAATGGGTTTATCAAGCATGTAGGTGCCCCCATAGATAGCACTGAGCCTGGCGAAGCCCTGTGGCAGCTCCCCAAGTCCATACATAGGATAGAGATACGGTGATTTTCCATAACGCGCTAAACTGTCGCTATACAGCTTAATACGTTTAACAGTATTGATAGCAGGCTGAGAGATGTAGTCATCATTCCTATTCACCAAAAATGTCCATTAAAATTTTCCCCTCCGTAATAATTTCAATTCGGAAAATGGAGAATTCACCTGTGAAGGGCCAGTGCATGACCTGTAAAATCCTGAGTATTGGCCTCAAGACTGAATTTGCTGTAGAGTGCACTCATTGGATTGGTGAATGGATCAAACCCATCCCAAGTTTTGGGATCGTCCTCCTGCATGTTCTGAACCCAAGTGAGAAAATTACGGAATCGTCGTTTCTCGAATAGTCCCATGAGATCGCTGGAGAGTGCCTCCTGATGATCAATCGGTACTTTAGAAATTTTTCCCGATTTGTAAACGTACGAGCCCTCGATTGACTTGAACTCGAGATAACGCGTGACACCGGTGTGAATCAGTAATTTAACGAGTAAACCATTTGCCATGAGAAACTTGGGGATGAGATCGACATTCCAGTCACGACCACGTCCGTACATTTTGTCGGGTGGCGGTGCTTTGAAGTGACTGAAAAATAAACAGAGGTTTTTTATTACCCTGAAAAAGTTCCATTGTCAATGAATTGTCAAGGGTGTCAAGGTCCCAGCTCTCCGATCCTCTCCTCCCAGAACAGAATACCCTGAAACACTGATGCAGAGTTGTATGCCCGTTCATTGAAATTCCTTTTGCACTTGAAGGCTTTTCTCTTCTACTATTTTTCATCGGTACAATTACTCTCCACGCAATTCCCATTTCCGAGAAAATAAATCCGCACAATTGAAAAGTTTCCCTTTATTCATTCTTCTTTGGAATTGATATCCAGGATCTCTCGAGTTTCTCAGTACCAATAGAAGATATTCAGGATTGAAGTGGGAAAACAGAAAGTATAAAAGCCCCTTGGAGACTACTCCTTCGACTTTGAGGAGGGGATTCTTGATGGAAATTGAGGAGAAGGCTTTCCCAAGGCAGTCCGACATTTTTAATGAAGAGAACAGTCAATCTATGTGTTTTTCCACCCGTAGTGACCATTCTAAAAATCGATTCCTCCACCGTAGGAAATAATAACACGCAAGACGCCCACAGTTGCAACTCGACCCGATGTGACATCTCGGCGCCACGCTGTCTGCTTTTTCCATTTACATTTATTTATTACCGAACTAAACACCAACAGACTGAATAATACGAAACCCCAGAGATCCACCACATTTATTCTCCCCATCTGTTCTCATCATGAATCATTTCTCCAGATACTTTGCTTCGTCTTCCATTCTCATTCAACAATTAATTACAAATTTAATAATAATTTAAAATCATTATCCATTACTTCATCACTTTTTGTCATTATATTTTTTGTAGTGAAGTGGAATAATGTGGAATAAAATTATGGAATATATTTAAAGAGGTGGGAATTCTCTCGGGTTTTCGAAATTATCTGGGAAAAGGGAAAAGAGCAGAAGGGGAGCGACGATTCGAAATAATAATGAACATCGATTGCCTCCTCACGTGTCATCACTCACGGATCGACACACATATCCGCAAATGGTTGTCAGAGCCCACTAACCTACAAAAACAAGCTTAATAATCTGTTTGCGAGCTTCCCGTGGCTCGGTAATGTCCAATTGATCACCCCAGAACGGAAGAAACCATTCCAGGGCGGTTCCCCGTAATCCCAGCATTCCTTAATTAACGTCAATTATCGCCCGACCCTGATCCTTCCTACACATCCAAAGGTCCTGGTATTTTCATTCAGCCACCCTCACTCTGGATCGCCCCTGAATTCAAAAATGCATTTCCGAAATGGACGTGTCTCTCAACACATCGAATTTTTAATTATTTCCTCAATTAAAAATAAAAGGGGTCCCTCCCAATTCATTTCTAATTACCAATAATTACTAAAAATCCTCTGAAAAGCGATCTATTTACCCATTATTTATTTAATATCCGAATGTCATGGAGGAATAATCCTAAAACCCTGAAGATCGACCTGCAATTGAATTCCACCTGGAAATTTCCCGGAATGCGAATTCATTTCACCCCAGAGACATCGTACATGTGTTTTTCATGCGCCCCTCCAGTCTGCGATTGGAGTATCTGAATGACATGTCTGTTTTTTTTTTTCCTCCGACAAATGTTTTTTATCCCAACATTGTCGTGCATGATAAACAAACAATTCCAATTACGTATGTCACAGAGAGAAATGATAATCCACCAGACGGGATATTCCACTGAGGAGAGTATCGGGGATTTGAGTAACTGATGGAAAATCAATAAATTCACTCTGGAGTTTCGCCTTGACTCGCAAAGGAATGGGAAATTGTTTCGACCTGTTCTGGCCATTTGGACTGTTTTATCCTGGAAATGGAGAAGTGTGGGATGGGATAAATATGGTGTCAGGGATCTAGATAAATACTTCTCGCAGATACTTACGCGAAAAAATCCTCTAGGGGTGTTATCGATGCCGATTCTCCTCCATAATACTTGTTGCGATCAACGTGTAACACTTTTTTACCACTGACGGATAACATACCAGATAAAATGCATTCTTTGAGGCCGGTGCCGAGGACTATCGCGTCGTATTCTTCATCCATTGTTCAGCTGGTTCTGTACTCGGGGTTAAATGGACTCGATGGGGTAGAGGTGATGGATTTCGCACCTTCTAATGGTTTGAGATCGCGGATTGAGCGTTTGATGATCGGTTGGTGGATTCTGCCAACTCGCACAACTATTATGCCGGAACGGAAAGGCGCTTCTTGGCCTCTGCCTCTGGCTACGTCAATTGGTGATCCCTCTGATGCCCCTCTACACCCCCTCGACCTGGCGACATGCACCGCTGAATTATTCTGGTGGAGCCGCTCGTTATCAGCCAATCAGCGGGTGTCTCGGGTACTGTCGACCAATCGAATGCGGGAACAAGTCACTTGACAAAATGGAGGAGCAATTGGTTCACGGTATTGGATCACCCCCGACCACGTGGCTGCGGGCTTTTTTTGATTTTCCTGAGGACCAGGGTAAATCCTCTATATTTTATTTTATAAAAATACCAATAATATTTCGAATATCCCGCAAAATTATTGCAACTTGAAGTATTGTAATGATAATAATAATAATAATAATAATATTACTTCGGGAAAATATCGATCCGAAAAATATGACAACTCGAGATATTAATATTCCTCATTAGTATATCGACTATATTAATATATCTTTTGTTTAAATATTTTCAGTTGTGTTATTTCAATGAGTAATCGAATTACAACAATTGCAAATAAAATTATTTGTCCGTTTAGTGATTCGTACCGACAGTTAATGGTTGATGCGAGGCGCCCCCCAGTTGAGTCCCGGTGCGCGCGCACGGCACGCGACGAAGAGTCCCGAGCGAAAAAAAGGGGGGGAAAAAGGCTGCCCGAGCTGCCCGAAATTGCAGAGAGTATGTGTAAACGTCAGTGATGTCAGTGCGCGAACGACGAGTGGAGCATTGGTGTTGTGATTCGTTGATTACAATCGCCCCAACACTCGTTCCAACTCTTAATTTATTTTTGACACATCAGCCCGCACGACCATTGCTCTGGTTTAATTGTTGAGCAATTGGGGGCTCACTAACGGTAAACACCGACTTTCCTCGTTGATCAGCTTCAAGATTTTTTTTTTTCAACCCGGGGAAAGCCAAGTGAAACAAAGAGACTGAAATTGGAAAATTTTTGGTGGAAACAATAAGTGGAAAAATTGACTGTGACATTTTTTTTTCATCATCCGTGATTAGTGTATTTATTATTTTAATTAATCGCTGATTGAAGCTGAACTCGGTGAACTCAGAGTGGATAACTGTTGCTTCGAATATGTGGAATCGTGTGCAAGTGGTGTTTAACGGGTGTTGAGGACACCAAGGACTCTTCGTTGAGGATCAGGAGGGCCACGTGGACGCGTTGCTAGCTCCCGGAAAAATGTAGGTGAATGACATCCAACAAATTGTAGATATCACCTAACTGTACATCACAGTTGTTTCGATTTATTGGTATTACGCTCGCATCGCCAGACACAATTTGCAATGGGCTTTTATCTTAGGGTTTCATTTATTTTGCACTCACACGAGAAGAATACGTTTTTCAGGTTCACTTTTGCTGACAGGAATTCATCCAATAAATATTTTCCCCTCGCAATCTTCGATTCCCATTTTCTTCTAATGAAGCTATCGAGATTGAAAGATACCCCAGGAGTTCTGTTCTGCGCCAGTCTTTGATGCGATTTCACTTTCTCAAAACACGTGTTGAATATTTAACAATTGTTCTCGCAGTTACGCCCGTCTGGTACTGAGCTATATAATTTACAATCGTAAACGTACGTTCCAGAAATATCTCAATTGAGAAGCGAAATGAAACCTAGTTTGACGATTTGCAGACAATTTCTCAATTGAGAAATCAATTTGTTGGGATGTCTTCCAGGATTAGGTGACATAAAAGAACACGAATAACTCTCGAGGACACGGTCTGTTAAAAATTTCCCAAGACTCGGGATTTCAACGGAAGAAATATAAAAATTACATCACAGTCAGTGGCACGCGAATTTCCTGGCGCTTCCTGTGACCCCTCGGTCTCGAGAAAAAGTTGCTCAATCATTAATCCCAGGTCGCATTCACCGTGGCATTCGGAATTTACCCTGATTAGTTGATCAGGTGACTGAGCAATTTCATTTGCCAGGCACTGGCACGCTATTCTTTTTAATAATGAAATGACACTGCTCATATGATTTAATGTCACGCTCGTGGGTCATTTGAGGAGCACCAGGTGCCCATGACCCATGAACAGGACGATTTGAGGTAACTGGGTCATTCCGATGAATCCACTCTATTTCTCGTTTATGGTTGCTCAGAGTAATGAGCCCATTGCCACGAGAATAACCCGAGATTAAATAAAATCATCTCCAAACGTCCGTGTTTCAAAAAATATTCACTCTCGATACTTTTTTCAAAATTCCTTCCAAATCTTTCGATTTTCCCATTTTATTTCAATTTACAATTCATTCAATTCGATTTCTCTCTTGAAGTTGACGTTTTAATCGTAATTATTTGTTTTTTTTTTTATTTTTTGTTTGACCATTGTTTTTATTTACGGATTAATTGATTTATTTCACTTTTTTTTTTTTTGCTTTTTTTTTATTAAAAAAAAATTCACAATCAATTGAATTATAATCACTAGATTCCTGTCCTCATTACAATGAAGAGATTTTCCAGGAATATCTCAGAATTTATGAGAGATAGATAAATATTTGTGAGACATTTTTTGTAGCCCTCAACCTGCGGGACACAAATCCCCGGATGAAGATTTCGCTGTCTCGATCGGGTTCTGAGATATTCATCGTAAACCAACCGCGTAAAACCAACGTAACTCGACCATTTTGTCCTCGTCATTACTGAATCCCCTCAGATGTCTCTGAAAATAATTAATAGCATCCCCTAGTAATCTTCCGGAATTCAGGCGTCAGCGCATTGACCCAATAAATTTAGCACTCGACCCCGTTATTTATACCCCAGCTGATCCGAACGTGCAAGTCAATCCCAGAACAATCTCATATACTTTTTTCCTGAGGAAATGTCGACTGACCTTGAGCCCTGACGTTCTTTCTTTGGCCCTGACAGTCGACTCGAGGCGTTCAACATTAATAAAATAACAGCGGAAACCACCCACTCAATTCCACGTGCAAAAATGTTTGATTAAAAAATAAAAGACTCAATCTTCTACACTTGGCTCTAGTACTAATTTCTGGAGATCTACCTCCGGGGGTCAATAGGATATGCGCAAACAGTAATCAATTGACCGTAATCACTTCAATTATCGTTGGAAAATCTTTCGTTAATGACTCGAGACAGACCCTGTTAACAGAATAATTGAATTTCATGGATTGTTGACCAGCAATTGCCAGGAGATTGTCATTGAGTTTGAGAGAGAGGAATAATTAAATAATTAAATTCCCAATTCAATCCGAATTTCATAATTACTCTCATTATTCTCCATTCATTTTTTCTGGGATTATTTTCTCCAGAACTCCATCCTCATTTGTCGTTGAAAAAATTATTATTCAGTGATTAATTGATAATTTGTCATTTCCTCTGATTTTCTCGTGTTTAATGACACAATTCATGGATTAATTTCGGGGAATCTTTGATTGATTGAGAAAGTGAGAAAGAGTTCAGGGGAGAATTAATGAATTTGGGAAACTCTTGGGCCGTAATGACATCAAGTTGGAATCCTTCATTTTTCTTACTGTTTTCGGCTCTCGTGGTTTCACCATAGATTCACTTACGTGTATGGGATTTTTTTTTTAACGATTATGTGTAACCCCTTTTGCACATTACGTAAACCTCTCTGAGACGGGATTGTGAGGAAAAAGTGAACGGGCTGGGTTAATGCGTGAGTGAGGTCACGGTTTATTGTGTGGTGACACAACCGCATGCATATTATACTGTGCGGGAATATTGGTAATACGGAAATGGAATTGTTTTTTTCCACTGTTATAACGTTGAGGAAAATTTCACATTGTCTTTGTGCAGACGAGGGGGAAGTATTTTCTGGTGTTCATGGTGGTTGATAAAAATGACGGACTGGTGAGGAAAGGCAGTGGGAATTTTTTCATCCGGGGTTTGCATTTTTTCAAGGAAGTGGCGAATGGAAAGTCACAGATCAGTTCGATTTTCCACTCGCTGATATTATTAGAATAATTATTGCTTTCAAATTAATTTTTAATTATGAAAAATCGGAGTAAAAGTGAATGGAATTTGAATAGAATTTTATACTCGCTGAGTGGAAATTGATTAATTCGATTTTTATTGGTTGTTGGTACTAATTAATCGACATATATTAATTAAATGTCAGTATTAATTAATAAATGGGGATGATATGATCATTGAATTCAGGGAAAACGCAGATTTCACGTGAATTCTCGTCGGTTATTCGAAATAGAATTTATCTAGAATGTCGAAATTGATAGATCGTATCACAGATTCTTCGAATGTGTGCATGTAAATGAATCAGATGTGCCGGAAGTTCTTTGGATAATAACGTAAAACTGATTACGTAGTTCTTGGCAAATTTTTGATAGTGGTTCGCTCTCTATCTTCTAGTATGGGTTTTATCAATGAAACCTTGAGGGTCTGATAAATGTACGGCCATAAATTTGGAGTATGATCTCAGTGACGATTTTGATGATGCAATGATGCACGAAAATAGCCCTGGGAGAATTGAAGCAGATGTGAGGGTTGCACCGAGGCCCAGATTCTCGGTCATTCCAGTTTAATAAATAGCACGTGCAGTTGTAAAGGAGTAAATCACGAGTGCTATTTCATTTTGGAAGATATCAATTTTCCACGAATATCTCACTGGTGGAATTTTTTAAATTACCAGTGGGAGAATCTAGTGAAAGTGAGATCAATCGAGTTTTCCATTTTTCGTAACTACCGGTTTATCTTGAGAGCCTTTAAATTACGGTGGAAACATTAGAGGACTTTTTTGTAGCTCGTTCAATTTTCGAGGAAAAAGGTCTCTTGATAGTTCTCTCTAAAATCGATGCTTTTTCATCAATTCACGTTTAACTCAACGTGAAATTTTGATTTCTCTATTTATCGGAGTTATAACAATTTTAATTGACCTAAAAAACAGTCTAAATTAACAATCTTAGGGAAAAATGTGAAAAGACCTTTTTTCCCGGCAATTCAATGAACTACAAAAAAGTCCTCCGACGTTTTCACCTCAAACCCAAAGATCAGCACTGAAATTAATATTTATAATATCAATAACATATTCATATATTAAAATTTCAAGATTAATTTTCCAGCAGAGCAGAATCCAAGAGAAATCTCTCGAAGATTTCTTTTGCTAACTCGCCATTGAATCAATTCGTGATCACTCATAATTAAAACACTCTCGCTTAATTGATTGCGCATTAACATACTGATATCCCCAGCACATTACCGTAATGTGACCTTGGAAACTGAAACTCGATAGACATCCGTTATGAAAGAGAGTGATAAAAATTCCTCGGATGACGAGAAATGGTTTATTTTGCCCAATCGATAACAGCCCCGGGCTATTTTTTTTTTAATTCTACAACCACGTAACGAGAATTGCAATCATCTGATTGCAGGAATTGTGGCGTTGAGGTAGGGTGAGGGAAAGTGGCTCCAAGCCAAATAAAATTTCAATCAGATTGAATTCCTCAATTTTTTTTTAGGAAAACTCCCCTCATTTTTCTTTTCACAATTTGCTCTGGTTCTGACTCGTGAGTGGAAGTGTTGAAAGCTGTTTCCACCATTATTTTATCACTATACACCGGGGGAAGATCGATCGCTGTTGTTCATACAGGTGTGGATAATTAATGACGACAGCTGTCAAAGTTTCGCATCGCTGCATATAATCCCCTTCTGATTGTGGGACCCAGGAATTTTCTTCAAGACGTGTCGTATGAATTTAACTTTCTTCACTCGAATGACATTTCTAGGACAAATTAACGATTTTCGCCTGTACGCCACAGTATTTCCCTCAATATCCGAAATCCTCAGCATGATTTTGTCACGTCTCTCAAATCGTTCTGAAACGATTTCCTAATTAATTCATGAATCATTAATTATCCGAATTTAAGGCCCGAAATGACTTTAAGAATTGCTGCTCCACCAGATCTACAGAAATCTCTTCATTAGTTTCAGTTTAATGAATTGATTAATCACAATAAGCGCAAAAAAAAAATAATGAGAGTAGATAAAAAATCGGAATACCTAGCATTGACAGAAAAAATGATTGATTCCTCTGGAAATTAAATGAATGAATATTTCTTGCACTTCGCCACATCATGGTGATCAATTTTTTTTTATTTCCCAATGAATAATGTTTTCCTTCCGTCCATTGTCTTGGATTGTAAATTTTTAAAAAAAACTCATGTTGCTGCAATTTCAGATGTGCAAGTATGTCGGAGAGGGGGATGCAAGCAGCGTGCGAGGAGCAAGAGACGAAAACCTCGCTCTATGTATTCCCAGGTCCAATTCCACCCCGGGTGCCACCATTGAATCCCCTCCAATCGCCACCAACGATAACAACAACGAGTCTGCCCTGGTACAAAGACAGTGGCGAAGATACCAACGACGACGAGGAGTCGAAACGCCGACGATCAGGTACCCACAGGCACACGAGATCGGCAAGCCACGGTGGGGTTCTTGCGACATCGTCGACGGGTTGGCAATCGACACTGGGCTCACCCGGAAATTTTGGCACTGGGAGCATTGGCTCCAGTGGACGCCCATCGGCACTCAAAAAACCTGGACATCAGAGGGCATTCTCTCAGGGACAAGTTGTCGAGGTTCAAGGGACTGTCACTGGTCACAGCCGAGTTGGCTCCAGAACCGATTTTATTCTACCTCCTGGACATCGAGAGGAGCCAAGACCTGCCACTGCCAAAACACCGTCGTTTCGGGGACATTCACGACAGGCCTCGAGGTGAGTTAGTATTCAAAGATATCACGTTTTCATATTTTAATTATTATTCTCGGATCGCGCCTTCAATTAGGTAATTTTCCATTTTTTTTTTAATTTTTCCATGAAAATTTTCAATTCAAAAAGTGGCCACTTTCACAGACCAGGACACCCGGCACGAAATTCATTTAATAATTGAATTTAAAATATGGAATAAGACCAATGATTATTTAATTTCCATTAAGTGTTGAGCCAATAGACTTTTTACTCCTTCCATGAAATTGTTTGGGCTAATGGCCTCTTGAATATTCACGAGGTGTATCTAAAATTCATGAGCGTTCAGTCTACGAAACCCATTCACCAATATTAGTTTCGTACCTGAAACGTACTTGATGCATGACTCGTCTGTTTATTCCAGGTCAGAGTCAATCTACACAATTCGACGTAGTGCTGCGCCACCCTGGTGGAGGCGTGCGTGGTCAAGATGTTTTGGATCACCACCCGAAGAGCCCAAACTCAGGACCATCATTCCAAATCACCTGGTACCACCCAAAACACCAGCGAAAAAACATCCCAATGGCAGTCACGACAACAGGTAAACGTAAAATCAAATCCCATGTACCTCTACACGTCCATTCCCCAATCCTTCCACAAACCGCGATGAATCCCCTCGTACCATTACGTCAACGACTTGAAATTCTCCACAATCCAATTATCTCAATGTCAACAAAAAAAAAAAATAAATAAACCAGAGAGAAGGCCAAGCCATTTGAAGTTCCAAACTCACTTCCCTCGTAGCCATGAACTTCTTGGGTGTTCAACACCTGGCATTTACATAATGCCTCATCAGACTTAAAACTGATATCCACTACACTATTATTAAACTATTTAAAGTTAATCCTATGAATTCAATATGAGATAGTAAACAATTATTTTTATATCCGAAGTTATTCTTGGATTCCAAAAATCCGATAATTTAATGTATCTCCCTTATCTCTGAGTTAAATATCAAGTGGAGATCGAGATAACTCGAAATTTCATATTTGTTCTAATTTTGAATTCCGCAGAAACTACTAACTTTAGTAATAACCATCAAACCTTTTCGATTTCAAATTCAATTCCACCTCAAACCAATAATTTCCAAAGTGATAATTCAATTATGATTATTCTAATAATATGAGTATATATGAGTGTCTTCAATTCTGTTATAGGGTGCGCACAACAAAATACACAGCCCTGAGCTTTCTCCCTCGGAACCTGATGGAGCAATTTCACCGTGTGGCAAATTTGTACTTCATATTCATTGTCCTGCTGAACTGGGTGCCAGCGATAAACGCATTTGGCAAAGAAATAGCGATGATACCAGTATTATTCGTTCTCGGTGTGACAGCCCTGAAGGACTTCTTCGAGGACAGGAGAAGATACGCGAGTGATCAGCGTGTCAACAATTCAACTTGTCGAGTTTATCTGAGGTAATGTGCTCAATCAATCATTAAATCGATCGGTGGGGTCAGAACGATTAAAAAAATATTCATCAAATGTGCGTGTCGTCTGACCGTTCCACTTTCCCTGACCGAGGAATTCACCATCACATCGGGCAATTCTCCATCAATTATTTATCGTTTATCAACGCTGCAGCGAATGTGGGATCGATCCGCAATGATCTATGACTCAGCAAACGTCAAATACCGGTTGTCCTTTATTTTGTTTTTTGGGTCAATAGCAGGGAAAAATGACTGCTTGGTAATTCTCATTGTCGTTTCAACTTTTTCCTGGTTTGTTAGTGTTTTTTTTTATTGAATTATAAAGGCACTGGGGAATCGATGGTGATGCGAGTGCAAGTTTTGTCGAGGGTGAGGCCTGCAATTTTCCCAGGGCAATCGGTATGAAGACATGGGAGGTCTCGGCTTTCGTACCCTGGGGTTGTGCAAACACTTCTTGTTCTTGGTGGAATTTTTTACTCACCCGCTGGGGGTTCACTGGGGCAATGATTCCATTCAGGGGATCGACGAAGACCCTTTGTCCCCTGAACCAACCACAACTCAGGGCAAAATGCTTTACTATCACTGGCTGTCGTAGATTTCATGAATTATGCAACTCAGGTGCTTGTCACTCGATGTGTCATGGGGAATTCATTGATCTGGAATTCCCGGACGGTGGGGCTTTCGTTTGACTCGCGGTCCTTCAACTCTTCAGCTCATACTCGTCACCAAAATCCCCGCGTCTTTTCCGAGAATTTTTCATCCTGGCATGACGATTTTTGGGAGGACATGGGGAATTGCAAGATGTGATATTTTGGTCATATTTTTCTCAGAATATTCAAGAGATGTGGAATTCTTATTGGAATCAAACTCGTTGATAATCGAGGAATTGTAATCGAATTGAATCAATAAAATCCGTTTTTCGATTCAGCAATCGCGAGTGATGGATTGATTTCTCTTTCGTATGAAAATCGAATCCCGAATTGGGAATATATGGGCAGTCCTGAATCATCATGATTGACTCCAAATAAAATTCATTGTGTATTTTATACAATGAGTTGTACACTTTGATCAATCCCCCATAAATTTTTGATAAAATATTCCTCATTGCTTAGTAATCGCGTTGAAATGCCGAGACATTGATTCGAGGGCTCATTATTCATTGATAATCTCGATTTCCAATCCACCCTCATCAACACGTGAGCCTCAACTACCTGTTATGTGGAACATTTTCATGATGATAGTACACGTGCGTGAGGCATACAGGAATCGAAGTGACAGAGACCTACTTACCTTTCCTGGCGTCTGTTATTCGACCTTTACCTACATAATGCATGCAAGGTTCCCCTCTCAGTTTTCCCTCGCTTCATCCAGTGATTGAGAGATACATTGAGATTGAGAAATTATTGCCGATATATTTCCATTTCTCAGATTTTTTTTTTGATCTCTAGAAAACCCGGGATCGGATCGACGTGCGAAAATATTGTGATTTCAGGTTTCATCAGGTTTTATCAGGTTTTATCGTTGTTCAATTATCAATTTTACTGTCACCACATCTCCCCGTTGTTATCAATTCACCCTGAAGGGGAGAATCTATTTCTCCCCGGTGGGAAAATCCAGGCGAATTATTTTCTTCGATAGATTTCTGTTGCAGAGCTTCCAGTGATGTCACTGGTTGCGTCACCTAAATCTCTCAGGTCGTCACGTTGGACGACGGGACACGTTCTATTTGAATTCATCAGCTCACTTCTAATGTCATTAACTCTTCTCTCACTACTGAGTGAATATTTAATGTGTAGAGGATCTCTGGGCCATTGAGTGCTCTTAATTAATGCAGAATCACGTTCTCACGTCGAGACGAGAAATTCAGTATAGAGGAGTAAGATAAGACTAATCTCTGAAACTATCAATTTTCCGAGAAAACATGACAACATCTTTTTTGTTGGAAATTCAAACAGCCACAAAAAAGTCCCTTACCGTTATCACGATAAATCAATTTTTCTCAAGATAAATCCATAAATTAATGATCATTCATCAATAAAAAATTGGGGAGTATTTTCACCTGTAATTCCCTGAATTTAATTATCTTTAGGAAATCATTAGTCTGGTCTGGATAATTTATTAATAATTCCACCAGAATTTCACTCAATTAACAATCAATTGGAATTATTATAAATTTCTTTTGGATCTGCAACAAAAAAATTTATCAGATGTGTATCGTAAATTCCAAGTGACAAATTAGGAGAACGATGAAGTTATTTTCTAACACTTATTTAAGAAATGACCTCATTGTGTAACAAACTGTGGCACAAATTTTTTATGACGCGTTTGATTCTATTTGTTATTTTTTTCTTCCTGAACGAGAGCTATTGTTCCAGACAAAACATTTGTGCTGGAAATGTTACAAAGGTGTCATTGAGTCACAAAATAGAGCCTTCAACTTTCCGTAGAAAACAAACCGATTTTTCTCTTTAGCCAATATTTTCATACCATTCCGTTTGTCATCGCGCCCATTTCCAATCGCGTGCGATGAGTTAATGATAAATTTGCATGTCGAAGATTCAGTTTTATCTGGAATTCCACGCGCCTCATCATCACACCATCATTATTCCATAATAATGAACAACAAAAGTCGATCGATGATTCATTATCAATCCACTAACCGATTGTACTCGTTATTTTACCAGCGCTGATTCATTTCAAATATCAAACTCGCGAGAGTGAAATCAATAGTTACTATCTGTCATTCGCAAGGGCGATGTACGTAAAATATTGAACAAACATCGGTATCTGTCTGGATAAAAAACACACTGCCTTTTTTCCACTTTGTCAACCGATAAAGGAGCCACAGGCACGTCACTGATCTGAATATATTCGAGCAAACATTTTCGATGGAACTATTCCCATCTATCGATCCAATTATTGAAATTCCATTCGTACAATTCCTGAATTGTACGTACGTCGATTCAGGGATTAAAAAGATTTTTTAATCTAAAGATGAAGTGATTTAAGATTTTATTCAATTTTATCGAGTGGCATGAGTTAGTTACCATAGTTTGATGTCATTATATTTCATGGGAAGTTCTCGTTGAGGAATTTACAAAATTAAAAGACGTTGGCAACTCCTTGAGGCCTCGTGTGACTTTTTTAGTTGAAGCTTCAGGATTTTGTAATCGAATGACGTATTGAGTTCGCGCCACTCGAGATTTCGAGAGCATAGATTCCAGTTCACCTATATTTTTCCACTCATACGTTCTCCATAGATCCCCTCTGTGTCCTTGAAAGCCCGATCTACGGTATCTGCTGTCACCCACGTTCAATAAAATCATGATTTTCTACACCCGATCGGTCTCGATTAATCGGAATGACCTCCCAAACCAATCGCTCAATCTCGTTCATTATAAATCCGCACCCTTTTTGCCTATAATCGAATCTCAAGGAAATTATCTCAATTAATCCCGCCTTCGACAGTTTCATCCACTTTATCTATCAATTAAATTTAGACTTAAAAATAAAATAAAATGATGGAATAATGAAATTGATTCAAGTTCGTTAATTATTGATTTATTAGGATTTTCATTGTCAGTATTTATCCATTATTTTTTGACCTTCCAATATTTTCAGACTGAAAGACGTGATTTTTTTTTTTAATTCCATTTTTATCTCCCACTTATTTGCGCTGCACGTGGCATTAAACATGTTGAAATCCAGGAAATAAAAAAAAACAAGGGTTTCATTAAATTTTGGAAAACAGCAGTCGAAGGAATGACGCAACATCTCTTGCGAATTGAAATGTGAAAACCCACGATTTGCCAGGATAATTTTAATTCTCATGCTGCCCCTGATGTCTCCTCATTACCTGTAGAGACGTCGAGGCATGCGGAAGTCGACGTGAGATCGAGGAAATCTCTCGATGTTGATGATATTTCTGGCTCTGCTTATGTACAAACATATTGTCAACCCCGGGAATGTATCAGGAAGGATTGAAAATGTTCTATCATCTTCGAGTGGCTCGAGGTCTCGGTCTTGGTCTCGGTACATTGCAAGTCGATCAATGACGCGTGACCTGACTCTGCGACGATAATGTCCGAGAAATTCCACTTCGTGACTCGGTACTGCCAGGGAATTCAATAAAAAAAAAAAAACCGGTGGGAAATGACGCTTCTGGCTCACTTAGTGATAATCGTTAGGGTTCAGTGATTGTAATTAGCAAGAACTCTCGAGTCTCCGGATCCAGAAAACCCCTGGATAAATAATTTATCTGAATTTTGAATTTTACCACTCATTTATCGGTTTTCACCCCAACGACGTCAATTCGATTTTAACATTTTTTATCATTATCGATTTATCTCGAAAACTCGTGGAACTACTGAATTTCTTAATAATTTCGATTTGATAAGTTCTTGATTAAATCTCTCGGAGATTATTCTATTTTTTAAATCAAGATAAATAATCCGGGGTATTTCTGTTCTCAGTGAAGTCGATCGTTACGCAAAAGTTCCCTGGAAGGACGTGAAGGTCGGTGACCTCGTTCATCTCTCGAACAATGAGCTGGTGCCAGCCGATATCCTCCTCCTCCGGAGCAGCGATCCCCAGGGATTTGCTCTCCTCGACACATGCAATCTCGATGGTGAGACTAATCTCAAGCAGCGACAGGTGGTCCGTGGCTTCCTGGACCTCCAGGACACCTTTCAGCCATCAAAATTTCGTTCAGTCGTCGAAGTTGATCGGCCGAGCACGAAGATCTACAGGTGAGTCTGAATACCGAAGAATTTTAGGTTTCTTTGTTCCGAATGTCAGAGTCACTCAATTTCGAGGTTTCGACAGATTTTACGGCGCAGTTGTCCATCCTAATGGCGCGAGAGTACCAGTTACCACCGAGAATCTTTTGCTGAGGGAATGCTTGCTGAAGAATACTGACTTTGTCGAGGGCATTGTCGTTTATGCGGGCCATGAGACCAAGGCCATGCTCAATAATGGGGGACCGAGGTACAAAGTATGTGACCCCGTTTTTTATTTTTTATTCCAGAAAACTTTACGGACACTGCAAATTTTTAATTCTAATATTTCAACAAAATTTATGAAAATAACAAGAATATTTGAATAATTAAATACTGAATTTAGGCAATTATTCCTTTTTATTTGAATGGAATTCAATTGACATTCTTTTTAACAAGGAGTTCACTTTGAACCGTTACGAATGTCGTTACTGGATTTCTCCCTCGTTCGATCAATTATTCATGATCTAGTATTTTTTTTTTCCGTACAGATATTGAGAATAAAATTCTTGGAGGCTAATTATTAATATAAATAATTAAGAGATTGAATATTTTATGATTTCTCACGAAAAGAATTTTCTCTTAAAAATGAAAAATTGTCATAACCAAATACATATTAATCGTGACTGATTTCTGAAGCGTTCAAGGCTCGAGAGACAGATGAATCTGGACATAGTCTGGTGTGTAGTGATCCTGGTGGTGCTGTGCATCGTGGGTGCAGCTGGTTGTAAATTCTGGCTCTCAACATTCACAACAGACGCCCTAGTGCCCTTCCTCCCTTCCTTCAAGGAGCCAATTTACGAGGGAATGCTTACATTCTGGACATTCGTAATAATTCTCCAAGTTATGATACCCCTGAGCCTCTACGTGACGATGGAGATGGCCAAGGTGGGTCAGGTATATCACATCGGACACGACACATCCCTCTTTGATCCTGAGACTGGACGCAAGGCCGAGTGCAGGGCCCTCAACATCACCGAGGAACTGGGTCAAATTGAGTACGTCTTCTCGGACAAAACTGGAACACTAACCGAGAACAAGATGATATTTCGTAGATGTGCAGTGGGCGGTCAGGATTACGGGCATCTTGGTGAGGACGAGAATATCCTAGCTTGCACTCGGTTGAAGGAAGATTTATTGATTGGCAATGCACGTCATAGGCTACAGGAGTTTCTCATACTTCTGGCTATTTGCAATACTGTTGTTGTTAATACACAGCCACACCATGATCTCATGAACTCGAGTGGTGTGATTGAAGAGCCACAGAAAAATGGAGTTGCCATGAGGTACACGAGACTGTCAGAATCCCGAAGTACGACTCCCCCGTCTCCCCCAGGACCTCCTGTACCTCCAGCACCTCAAGAGGGTGGTCTAGAGCCCCTAGCAATAAGCGTAGCGAATTTACCTACTAAAATATCTCGTCCACGTCTCCTTAACGTTCCCACGATTCCAAGTTTGAACATCGGCATTCTCCGCAAGCATTCACCCACTGGAACCCGAGGTAGTCCATCCTCACCACGTGCAAATTCATCGATAAATTCCGAATCTCCACCCCCAATATACGAGGCTGAGAGTCCTGACGAGTTGGCACTGGTGCACGCTGCCAAGGCCTACGACGTGAAACTCATCAAGAGAACGGCTCGCAGTGCAGTCATATCTCTCCCAGACAAATCTACTCTGGCCTTCGAGATACTCTACGTTTTACCCTTCGACTCGAGCAGAAAATGCATGTCAATAGTTGTGAAGCATCCGCACACCGATGAAATAGTATTGTACACGAAGGGAGCTGATTCAACACTTTTATCGTCCCTCACGTCTTCAGAGGAGGAGTCCTCGGCAACGGTTAAAGTACGTCAACTACTGCATTCGTACGCTAGACAGGGGCTGAGGACACTGGCGATGGCCAGGAGGTCATTGTCCTCGAGTGAATTTGAGGCGTGGAAGCAGAGGCATTCGGAAGCAGAATTGGCTAATGACAATCGTGAGAGAAGGGTGCGAGAGTCTTTCTCCCAGTTGGAATCGAATTTAACTCTGGTTGGTGCAACTGGAATTGAGGATAAATTGCAGCAAGGGGTGCCTGAGGCAATGGCAGCTCTTGTCGATGCTGGAATTGTCGTCTGGGTGCTCACTGGGGATAAACCGGAGACAGCTGTCAATATAGCATACTCTGCCAAACTTTTTTCACCGGCTATGCAGCTGCTGAGGCTACAGGCGAGATCCAAGTCGGTGGCTGAGGGCCTCATTCATGGATTTCTCGAGGCTATCAGGATTGAAACTGCTGGGAGGATCGGTGAGGGCTCATCTCAGCCTCCAGTTAATCCCACTGAGGATGACAGGGTTGCTCATAGGATTGGGGCACCGTGGCCGAGGCAGAGGGCTCTTGTTGTCGATGGAAAGACTCTCACTTTTATATTGGATCCCAGGTCTGGACTCACTGCTCCCTTCTTGGAGCTCACCAGGAGTTGCTCAAGTGTTCTGGCGTGTCGTGCTACACCTCTCCAGAAGGCTTATATCGTCAGAGTTGTCAAGGAGAAGCTGGGAATGAGGACACTCGCTATTGGCGATGGGGCCAATGATGTCAGCATGATTCAGACTGCTGATGTTGGTGTTGGGGTGTCTGGGAGGGAGGGAACTCAGGCGGTTATGGCCTCGGATTTCGCTGTCGCCAGATTTCCCATGCTGACTAGGCTACTTTTACTTCATGGACACTGGTGCTATGATAGACTCGCCAGGATGATACTCTATTTTTTTTATAAGAATGCCATGTTTGTCTTCCTCATTTTTTGGTATCAGGTAAGTTATTATTGGAATTTAATGAGCTCTCGGTGGTTATTGAGATATTTTTTACAGCTTTATTGTGGATTCTCTGGCGCCGTTATGATTGATCAAATGTACCTGATGCTCTACAATCTACTATTTACCTCACTGCCACCCCTCGCCATCGGAATCTACGACAGAATAGCATCACCAAATATTTTACTAGCATCACCGGAACTTTATAGCCGAGGGAGACTTGGTCTTGTCTACAAACCCCATTCGTTTTGGATCACAATGGCTGATGCTTTGTATCAAAGCATCATTATTTTCTTCGTCACCGAAGCTGTGAGGATTATTTCTCATTTTAAAATTCAGTAAATCACGATTTTTTAATTTATTCATTTTTTTTTAAATTGTAATGTGTTACAGGCTTATCATGATTCCGATGTCGACATCTGGGAGTTTGGAACTACAATAACTACCTCCTGTATTTCCGTAATGCTTATTCATGTTTCCCTTGAGATTAGATCGTGGGTGAGTGGTGGTTATTTGAATTAACGGGTTGTGGGTCTCGTTGAATATCTCGGGCTGATGGTTATGCTGGTTTCAGACGATTATACACGTTGGGACGATACTGGCATCCCTCGGACTGTTTTTTGGATTCTGCATTCTGTATAATGTAGCGTGCGTGAGTTGCATCGGTTTGCCGGGATCGTACTGGGTGATGCCAGTGGCTATTTCAAGATGGGTTTATTGGATGACTGTCCTGCTTGCCTCCGTCCTTGCCACGTTGCCGAGGTACAATCGATATTTTAATTACCTCATCACCCATAAATACCAAAACAATCAACTGCAGTTTTCGCTGCAGTCATTTTATCCCAATTACACATTTATCTCGAAAACTATGGGTTAAATTGAAAACGAGTAAAAGACTTTTTTTGGAGCTGATTAAATTGTCGACGAAAAATGTTTTTTTATATTTTTTCTCTAAATCAATAGTTTTGGAATTAATCAGCGATGAATTATTGTTCATCTTGCAATTTTTAATACTTTTCTCGATTTTATTCTATTTTTTTATCTTCCAGACTCGTTTACAAGACTGTAAAAAATACAGTAACCCCAGACATGATTCAACGTGCAAAATTACACTATCGTATGAAACGTAATCGAGAAACAGATGATTGTCGACAGGGAATAACAGGAAGAGGTGAGCGTGGTCTAGTCGCTGGTTGGTCGCGTTCCACACAACACGCGACCATAAGGTAACAATTGTAGGCCAATTTTTCATGTCAATCATGCTTTTTAATATGCAAAATCGATTGTCATTGATTGCAGTATTGCAATAACGAGGATAAAGTCATACGAAGACATGAAAACATGGGATGAAAAAAATTCACACTCCACCCAGTTGATGTGAAATAATAAATTTATCTTTTTAATTCGTAGACCTGGAGCTTACGGAGGCAAGAGTAATGTCCTAACGACCATTGTTGCCTGAAAATCTCGACCAAAATAGCTGAAACGATGGAGTAATTATTTTCGAACATAGGGAATTAGATGAATTAATTTTGTGGCTCGACACCACAAAATCATGAACATAATGTGCCAGACTGAATGTCACACACAAGACTCGCTTTGAAATATTGCATTTAGATTTTTTAATGATAAAAGTACGTTGAAATCACATATGCCTAATTCAAGTGTGCGAGAGCAGTCACATGGCTTTTCGTTCTCTCTTTTTACGAAAAATATTTCTTTGTTGTTGGACGAACCTGTTGATTTTGCGAAATGATGTGGCCTTCCAATGCCTCCTACATGGGACTGCTGTTCGTTGCATTTATTGGCTGTGACTGTTAAATGGGACCAAGTCTTTTTATTAATGAGTGGTGGGAATACGTATTAATGGCTGATTGGTGTGAAAAATGAGGGAATGGAATTGGGGGTTTGGAAACGAGTAAATGGTAGTCAATATTGCGGTGGAGTTGGATCCACAGAGAATGCATTTTTTTAACGTTATTTTTTTCGCTTTGTTGTTCTGTCAATCGTGTATTTTTGAGAGGGTGTTGGGGTAATTTTGGGGATTACCAGAAATTTTCAGAAGAAACATTTTCGTCTTGAGATTTGAGATGACAAACAGAATAAATACCCACGACGACTTTTGACTCTTAAACGCTTTATGGAAATCGTGAGATTAAATAGACAGTCTCAATTTTCAAGAACTTCGCGTAGTAATTCATCATTTATTCTGTTTACTACAATGGTCCCCGATTTTCCTCTCAACTCCTGTTCACATTCTAGTTTTAAATCTAGTTTATTTATCAGAAGTATTTCTCCTTCTTCAATGGATGCGTGTGTGTTCAATCTTAGATATTTCCAAATCCCATCACCTCAGCTCTTGAATTAATATTTTTTTCGAACTCTAGAAACAGTACGTGTTAAGTTTTACGTAAACCCGAATTTTACAGTATGTGAGTTTTGGAGGAACTGAGGAAAGTACCTGGAGGTAAAATGGGCCTTTTGTCTTTTTTTATTTACACATTAAAGACTTGGGAATTAATTAATCCCTTGTAATTAGTCTACTCTCCCTTCAAAGAGAGAACACCAGAAATCTCTTTTCCTCAGAAAAACAAATTTATCACGTAATTGAAAATTAAATGGGTTGTTGACATTTAAAAAATTCAAAAGCCACTTTTCCCGCCTCTAGGGGATTCCTCTTTGTGTCGATATTTTGATAATGAAGTTACAGGTTCTTGAGGGATGGAGGTGTTACGGTTCGTTGTTCGTTATGAAAAATATATTCAGGTATCATGTTCAAATTTGGAAAAATGAGGAGTTGGAGTTGTTGCAAGCACTGACGTGTACATACATTGTATAGACAAAATAAATATACATATATATTTTATCCTAGTCGTAGCATTATTAACTCAACATTTCCAACATCCAATTCTTTTTTTTTTCAGCCTCACGAAAAATTCCAGATAAATTATCATTTCTCATGATAATTATTTTGAATTTCAAATATTTTTAAATGGAACTATTTATATGCATTACATAAATATATTAATATTATATTTTATATTTTGGGAAATGATTTTGGTCAGAGGTATTAATCCTCTAGACTTTTCATATTATGAGAGAAAATGAGAGGAAAATCGAATTTCTTATCAGCGGTTTGAATTGGCGGCCGGCGGTAAAAGGGGGAGGTCCGAGGAGAGGGGATTCCCCCGTCCGTGAGATTGCAATACAACGTAAGTCCCCGAGTAATAGTAAACTCAGTGCCTTCTCACTCGACGTCAAGTGCGGACATTTGGTTCAACGTACCCGAACGCCAGTCACAACTCAACAAAATACAAAAACCAACACGTGTTTACTTGCCATTCACCTCGGGTAAGTAAAACCTGGTGTGTAGATCAATAAAAAATTCTCAACTCCAGAGAGGGAAGAATAATTCCAGCATCCTGCCCCCCACATTCTACCGCACACTAGTTTCCTTCGCATTCCAAATCAACGGAAATACTGACGCCAATTGTTCCGGGAATTAATTCCCTGAATCATCTCCGTCGAGGGTATTATTTTCATTCGGACATGTGGGGTCCATATTCTCATATATTAACCCCCCCCGTTTCCCTCCCCCTCGCAATCAGCTGATACCCCGACACCGCGCCAAACTGTCTCCCAGGAGGTGTCACGAGGTCTCGATTTTATTTTAGCAACATCACGTGACATCTCGAGGATTTTCGCAGTTGAATTGTCATGTCCCCGATTATTCTATTGTCAAATCTCGAATTATCTCAAACAGTTCGTCCCACATTAACTGAATATTAAATCTTCAAATCAATCTAGAAGGAATCCCTCAGTTATCGAAACAGTGAAAAATAAAAAATCTCATTAATGGAGGAATAATTGATTCATGAGATTAACAGAATGAAATAATTAAAAATAAAATGCTAATAATTATTGGAAATGAGTTTTGAGTGATTCTGATTAAGCCCTGATGATTCCCTGGAGATGATTCAATTGGATTGAACTTAATGAGTAAATACTCTCAAGTACGTGAATATCTGTAAAAATGAATTTTCATTTATCTTCAACCCGTGGTAGTAATTCTGGAATTTTTACGATTTGCACAGCCGTTGTGATAAGATCTAATCATTCGGTTGTTAGCGTTTTTCATCCCGTCCTCGAGTGACGACGTCATGGTTTCCTGGTAACGTGTTTATGTCGATCTAGTGCAATGGAACACTGTACAGGTCATAGCTAGTGCAGGGCACACGCAAAGAGGATGTAAAACCATGAAGGAGTTGTGCAACTAGAGCTGGTGATTGCTGTTGTGATTAGCGAGTGCTGAATACTAATGCGAGGGACAGTGCGAGGATTGTGGGGCACATTTACTGGGGATTCGCTTTTTTTTTTTAAGAAAAAATTTATGTGAATTCCCTCGTCATATCTGGAGGCAACTCTCGATCGTGTTTGTTCAATTCTTATCAAGAAATTTGTTGCCATACGGAGTTAGGGTTTAATAAATTCGTTTTGTGATAGATTACTTCATTATTTCTGATGTTATGTCATTATCATCCTGTGATCCTTCCGACTTAATTAAATTCCATTTAACGAGAATAATTCCTGGAGTTAAGAGGAAATTTTAACCTTTTTCCTGAAAATACTGGAAATTTTTTTATGTCAATGTTTACATTTTTATTGGGTTTCATCGATTTTGCAATGACCTGAAAAAAATCAATTTTTATTTGCATTCAAGTATTCACTTCAAAATCAGAAAAATTCCAATTCCCAACAAAACTCGGTGTAATAAAATTCTAAATGCCGCAATAGAAAAACAATTGGTGACAAAAGTATTTATTTTTAACACTCCCCAAACCCATTTAATTTTACGATTTAATTGCGTCACATTTTTAACCCAGAAAATTCATAAATTTCGATGTAAATCGCGTATTTAAAATCCAGGATTCCCAGAAATAGAGGATTAATGCAGAGGAAGTATTCGACTGGAATACTGAGCAGAAATAAATTACCTCGAACGCTTTTTTTTTCATTAATTTTTTCCAGGAGGAATGAGAAGATCGACAGTTAAAGTAAATCCACCGGAAATTGGAGTTAAAGTGAAAAAGAATTTCCATAATGTTTTGTGATATCATCTGCATTAGATTAAACTCACGGGCTAAATAATTTGAATTCAAGGTGATTGAACAATTTTTCAATGTCCATGTGCGATGAATCATGGGGATTCAGTCACTTTGAGCACGAGAAGGCCAACAAACTTCCTGGATCCTGGAAACTATCCAATAAACACCTGATTGCAGGATAAATAATCAATTAATTCAATGAAAGAATCTACTGTGATACTGTGACAATAAATATCACTGGTATGACCAGGGATCAATGTGAAATAAGTGAAATAATTTTTTAACGCAAATAGCACCGGCTATCCTTGAGTGGAAAATAATGAGGACCCGTCATTCAACACCTAGTGCCGTTTATCTCGAGATAAACATATGTTTTGAAATTGACTTTGGAGTGTGTGATGTAAGAAACCTGTCGGAGTACTTCAGGAATAAGAAAAAAGTGATTCTTCCTTGAGGGATAATAAACAGTGGAATAAGAGTGAAGTGATAGCCATTTTTTTGGATTTATTTTGTTCTTGAATCATTGAAATGACTGTGACGTATACTGCGGAGGTTGCCACTTGTCGGGGATTGGGGTGCTTCTTCAAACTTCTTCTGAGGTATCAGTAATTTATTTGTTATTAATTATATTATTGTTTTAAGATACGGTGAATTTTTTTCTTGTCGGTTTGAATTGTCGATTTATCTCGAAAGGTATCGACTTGGGAAGGAAATTCTTAAGGACTTTTTTGTAGCTGAAGAAATTTCCTTGAGGGAAGGTCATTTGATGTTTTTTCGTAGAATCAATGGTTTTTAAGATTCATTGAATGTAGGAAATGTTATGTAATTGTCGTCGATTGCGCGGAAAAATCTGTCAGGAAAAAAATTAATTGACAATTCCTCGATAAACAATGATCGTTACGACGTAAACAACATGAGAATCATTTTAAAAACACTATATACTTGATTACTTCATTGATATGACAAATAAAATGACCAGTCCCTCTATCACTCCGATAATACGAAACAGCACATGATGAATTATCGTGAGGCGCACAGATAAATGACTCGAAATTCCGAGAAAAATGATTCCTCAATTTTCCTCGATCTACCCATTAATGACTTAATTAACGAATCCATAATTTCAATCACAAAATTCTCGGAAAATATTCAGCGATGAAAAAAAATAAATTATCACCACGAAAATTTCTCACAAAACTCCATAAAAATCGATGCACATCTCAATAACAATTACAATAACAATTACCCAAAACTAATCATCCAGAAAATTGGCATCACTTTTGCCCGACAAAATCCCTAATTGAAGCGACTAATCAACGCTGGGAGATTAATTCACTCCAGTGCCACTTGTAAATGGAAATCAGCACGACAAGTTGAAAGAATCGTGATGATAATTGATAACATGTACCGCGACAGATGGGATTCGCACGAAAGATAAGATATATCATTAATTCGAGGTCATTCAACGGATATTAGAAACACCCCTAATCAAACCCTTCGGAATCCGGGGTAATCGCTCAATTTATTCCGTTTGAATTTTTTTTTTAATAACAGTCATGAACAATGATCTCATTTTTTCACTAATCATCGCCAACATTTACGTCATCAACCAGCTCACAGCATTGGCACACCCGTCTCTCGAAAATAGACCGGATCAGACAATCCGACACTAGCCCGATCAATTCTAAAAAAATAAATCATAAATAAACACGAAATAATGGCACGACCGACAGCAATAAATTAATAAAAAATCATAACCGACAGCAATAAAATAATTAAAAATCAGAACCGACAGACTTTTCGAAACAATTCAATTGAATTAAATTCCTCATTCTAATTAATTTATTTCACCTGTTAATTACCCCGCATTGTCAATCGATGATTAATTGAATTTGTTGCATCTTTGTTAATAATGATTTTACATGAATTGTAATACCAGGTAAGTGGGTCTGTAGGCCAGTGTTTTGCGCTATTCTTTCACATTTAATATCGATTACCAGTGTCATTACATTTAAACACGCCACGAAAGTACTAGTATCAATTCATGGCCACGAATTGTCATTCCCTCATATCCATGCTGATATATTTCTCCATAAAAAATGATGAACGAGACAGAAAAATAATTCCTCATCCATTACGTGATTCACATCCAAGGATTTCACATTAAAAGAGTAATGATGAATTTTCTGGGAAGCAATGACTCTGGATTGCATGAATAAATTTTTTATTATTATATTGTTACATTATATATTTTATTTCAGGTGGAGAGCGAGTGTTTATAAACTAGTCTGGCTGGATCTCGCCCTATTTTTATTCATTTACTACAGCCTTTCGGCGCTCTATCGATTCATTCTTGATAAAGAACAGCAGAAGACCTTCGAGGCTGTTGTTGCGTACTGCAATGAGTACAGTGATCTTATCCCATTGTCATTTGTACTCGGATTTTATGTCAGTATTGTTATGACCCGGTGGTGGAACCAGTACACTGCCATTCCGTGGCCTGATTCCATCGCTGTTTTCGTATCGGCAACTATTCATGGGAATGATGAAAGAGGAAGACTAATGAGACGAACAATTGTCAGGTAAATGGATATTAAATTCATTACTCCAGTTGAATAAATAATTCACATCAATTTTAAATCATTGAATCATCGAAAAGCCGATGTCTTGTACTTTTACGTAGATCGTAGGCAGTAATTACCTCTGATTGCTCTAGGTACGTCTGCGTTTGTTTGACTCTAGTACTGGCGAACGTATCACCACGTGTGAAAAAACGTTTTCCAACTCTCGATCACTTCGTGGACGCTGGCCTCCTCCTGGAGAACGAGCTCGCGATATTTCAGAGTCTCAATTCAAAATTTCCAAAACCGAGTAAACACTGGCTGCCAATTGTCTGGGCATCGAGTATTGTCACCAGGGCTCGAAAAGAGGGAAGAATTCGTGATGATTTTGCGGTGAAGACTCTGATAGATGAGCTGAATAAATTCAGAGGCAATTGTGGGAGTTTAATTCATTACGATACAATATCTGTTCCTCTGGTTTACACTCAAGTCGTAACACTTGCTGTTTACACTTATTTTTTGACGAGTGTCATGGGGAGACAGTGGGTTCACACTTCTAAAGTTGGTGCCAACATTGACATCTATTTCCCAGTCTTCACGACTCTCCAGTTCTTCTTTTATATGGGATGGCTCAAAGTCGCTGAGACTCTCATCAATCCTTTCGGAGAGGATGACGATGATTTCGAAGTGAATTGGATTGTCGATAGAAATCTTCAGGTGTCGTATCTAATAGTCGACGAGATGCATCATGATCACCCTGAGCTAATCCGTGACCAGTACTGGGACGAGATATTCCCGGTAGAACTGCCATACACAGCAGCAGCTCAAGCCTTCAGAGAGGAGCATCCAGTGGCATCAACTGCTGGAATTCAGCTGTCAGCGGCGCAGCAGGAGTTGCAGCCATCGTCAGTGAGAATCGACGAGATGAATCCAGAGTCATATCCAGGTATGAAATTTCGGGGTGATATAGCTGAGGACGCAGCCTCGGGGATTCACTTCATGGCAGGTGGAAAGATATCGAGGAGTGCGAGCAGAGTTAGTAACAGGGATAGGCCATTCACGGGTGGCTCAACCCCCAGCAACCTGGGGGGTTCATTGACACGAGTAAACAGCGTCACAAGTGTCCTCAAGAGGCTCTTCAGCAAGGAGGACAGGCCCGACGGTGGTAGCAAAACACCAGGAAAACTCGCCAACTCCAGTTCATCGGCTTCACTTCAAAATCGCCAGGGGACTAATGCCGGTGGCTCCATGAGGATTGGAGTAATCGAAGAGGTCGACGAGCAGATGACTGTTAATTCAATGCGCCCTGAACACCGTCCCCACGTTCAGACTATATTTCCAACCAATGGTGCACCAACACCTACTGCTCCAATGGATGTCCCTAGTAAACCGAGGAATGGGGATTTGTACTCAGCCAGTGCACCAGCTGGACCATTCGGTGGTGGAAAGTATCAGACGAGAGCACAGGTGTCCTCTGATTCAGCAAGGCTCAGTGAGGCCTTTGATTTTGGTGATGACAATGTCAGCATCAGGTCATCGGAGACGTCGACCAGCTCTGATGATGAGTTTACCAGGTTGAAGCTTGAGAGAGACAGGCAGAGGAGGGATAGGGCCATGAGAAAACTCGCGAGGAGTGTCAGCGGTACTCAGCAGGATCCTCCGTCTTCCATGGATCTCGATGAGACTCTGCTCTTGACGGAGCTTGGTGAGGCCTCCAGGGCCTCTCTCAGACCCGCTGACAGGTCCAAGGACAATGAGACGGACAATATTTAGGGGCGTCGACGACACTTCGAGGATTTTTTTTTTGTTTAATTTTAAAAGATTTCAGAAGGACATTTACTGTTTTAGATATTAATTCATTGTTTTATTTTTTTCAATCAGTCTTTGAAGAATGACATATTTTTCTTTGATGAATCGTTTTTATAAGATGACAATTTTCGTAATAGAAATTTTATCATTGTTTTCCGAAAAAAATTTATTTATGCCCTCGAAGTGGAGTCGATGCACCTCGTGCCACCGTTTGGCCATTGACCGTATTGATTTGTCCATGCCGCACTTCATTTGTAATTCAAAAATGGGAGCAAGTGTTGAATGCAAAGTGATTTTGTGAGGTGATGTGAACTGAGTGACTTGATTATTAAAATAGCGAAGTGATATCTAGAACGATTAATTAATCGCGTTTTCTATCGGTTTTTTAAGGAGACGTTTTAATATTAGACAAATGTCTGAGGCTACCCAGTTCTTGATCGGGAAATCGAGTATTGATTGGGTAAAGGCACTAATAGCGGGAAATTGTTACGTACTTATTAGAGGAAATTCACATGAGATTCGTCGATTCTCGTACTTTTATCATTGTTTCGAGATCAATGTGCACTTTTTGCCACTTCCATCACTGTTAATCGAAGCTCAAGGCCTTTTGTCACATATTTTTTACCGCTTATATCGTGTAAATAGACCAATTGTTGAGCTCTGGCTTTGAAAGCGAACAAATAAGACAAATGTCAATTTTTCTACTCGTTTTTATCGCGCTTTCCACTGCTCCTCTGCTCTCGATGATCATTAGACGAGTTATCCTGGAGAATTTCAGTCAATTGACGGGTGGATAAATTTTTTAAGGCACTTTTGTTGATTAATTATCATATTAGGATAGAAAATTCACGCGTTTAAAAGCTTGGAAGAAATACCTGACGTTTTCTTTGAGAATATCGTATTAGGATTCTGTGGAGAAATTCTATCTCAATTTCATGAAGAATCAGCTAAAATTATTATGTAGAAATTATTTCATGAAATTATCCGATAAGTTTAAATGCAAGGTCAACGAAAATTTAAAGGTTTTCGAAGGGAAACAATGGGTTTTTCTATTGGATTTTTTGTACGCGGTAATATAGTATTACAATCATAAAAAAATAGGTAAATATATGACGTGACATTCCAAAGTGAATGGTAAGTTCATATGGTGCTACCCGAGGAACTATTGTGACTGAGACACAATTGTTTTTAACAGTATTACAGTTGAAATAAATGTAATTCAACTTTTTCTTGGATTTGTAATTATTGTCGTTGGGTAATCCAATTGAGTAGTAAATACCGGTGTGTTTAATTATAATGAAGACTATGTTAATTATCAGTTGAACGAGCATGCGGATTTGTACAATTTATTTATTGATTTCAATTATTTAAGTTTAGTTATTTCAATAAACCTATCGTTGTTGCAGTAATCTTTGTACACGTGATCGAATTTCAGGTTGAGATCTGTGAATTTTTCAGTGAAAAATTTGATGTATTCGCTGTGAGAGGTGTCAATCTCCAGGAATAGGTGGCCAAGGGGATTCAGAGCTGTCGACGCATACCTCATGATAGGTTTTATCAGCTTGAGGCCATCCGGTCCACCGTCCAGTGCTCTGATATCCTCGAAGCTGTAGTAAAAAATTAACACACTTCAACCGATTGTAATGACGAGTTGAAAAATAAAATTGAGGGAATTCTTATAAAATTCGGTCCATAGATTTTACGGATTTATAACAATTTTTAAATTTTCGACAGTTCATCGGAATTATTCGCGCAATTTTTAAAATTACATGGAAAAATATCGGGGGATCACAATAAATAATAATAATAAAATTGATTATGTCTTACACTTTGACCTCAGGTTCTAGGTTCATAATTTTCTTGGTGGGAACGTACGGTGGATTGCTAACGATGAAATCGAATTTATCCTCCTCGAAATCAACACCGCATTGGTTATCAATTTTTTGAATTCTCCCTGGAGCCTCCAGGGTAGCATTGACGATGGAAATTCGATCCTGGAGGTTGAGATTCCTGCAGTTCTCCCTGGCGAGATCACACGCGTGGGGATTCTGATCGATGGCAATGCAGTGCACCTGAAATTCACGTTTTCCTTGAGCTGATGTTCCAGGGGATTTAATTACAGGGAAATTCGAGATGTACCTTATCACAGGAGTGGGCTAGAGCGAGAGAAATCGCACCAGATCCCGTGCCAATTTCGAGGACTCTCGGACTCCCGGAGGACTCGGACAGCCTCTTCAGGATGAAATCGATGAAGAATTCGGTTTCGGGGCGGGGAATGAAAATCGGAGGCACCAGCTTCAGAGTGATGTCTCGAAAATCCCATTCTCCAATTATATATTGAACTGGCATTCTTAAAAAATAATTACTGAATAATAATCATCGAATATTTCAACTATTTAACCATCAAAATAATTGCATCACGTAAAATAAAATCGCCAATTGATTATTAATTATTTTTTATAATCATTACAATCCTCACCTTGACAATCTGCACTCGCAAAGTAACTCCAATTTTTTCGCCTCTTCAGCTGTCAATTTCCTGTCAAAATAATTCGCCAGATCTAAAATCTGTAATAATTTCAGCATTAAAAAATTAAAATTCCAGATTACAATAAAATAATAAAAAGCAATGAATAAAATACGAATATATCAAAAATTCATGAATTAACCATTTTCTCAGTCCGGACAATTCAAATAAACCGAGATCTACCGCGCATGCGCACATTTCTTTCTATAGATCCTTTACCGATTTCCTGCCAATGACGTGTGCAAGGATGTGCTCGATGGATCCCACGGGCTCTGGGATGCCCTCATCCTCGAATCTCTGGCTCCAATACCTGATAATTCCTCGGAGGGTGTCATCACCATTTCCCACCGAAAAAACTCGCGGTGTAAAATGATAATTACGTTTCGCTAAATGGATGAATTGACTTGGGGACACGTGGAGCTTCTGGAGCCGCTGGAGGAGTATTTTGCAGGGTGTCATCCTGACCTCCGACAATTTTTTTCACTTGGTCCGATGACGATAAGGGCAAAACGGGGATGGAGAGGCACTTCCATCTGAGGACAGACCCTCGCATTATTTTCCACGTGGATGATGTTCTGATTGACGTTGAATGGTCGGATCCATCGCTTCGTTGTCAGCTGTCGACTGGGGAATCCCTGTCTTACCAATTTTTTTTTTCAATTACACGCGCCTCGAATCTGAATTTGAAGGCCATCAGCTGCAGGTGGACATGAAACGTTCCCTGCCAGGTGTGTGGCTTTTTCTCCACGTGGTTGTCATAATGTTAAACATTAAATTGCCGTTTTGGCCAGGACTTCCGGTGCTGCTATGGCGACAATAGGGGGATCTACAGGATCAATACCGCGTCATAACAGCAGAGCGAATCGCACGGATAAATAATCAAGATAAAATATATCCAGGAAAATAATGTTTGCAAATTGATAATTGATAAAATTGGGGATAAAAAATAATTCCACAGATACTGTACATTTTTTTTGTCATTTTTAAGATGGAGGGATATAATAAGGAAGTATATTGCAATTATTACAATTGAATTGCGAGTGATTAATTAGTTAGTTCTATGTAATTTAATTGAATTCATTTCAATTTTTATGGGAATCTTGCAGCTCCTCGTGTCGCTATCGAGATGAAACTAAACCGCTGATAACAATAGCTGAATTACTTCCTGAATTCCTAATGCATTAAATCTCAATGGATGATCAATGGAGAATCATTTAGCTCTAGACTAGCGTGATGAGCCGCAATTAAATTTAGAATCAAGTGATTCTCGTTGTTGGATGTTAAAAGCGACTTTCTGAATTTCTCGTGTGCATCCAGGGAGCTAGAATTATTCATTCCGGTCCTCTGGCTCTTGTTCATGAGATTCTACAAAACAAAAAGCAACAATAATCTCTAAACTCCACATTCCTCTTCATCTAAACACAAACTCGATTTATCAAAAACAATAATTCCGATATTTACATTAATTTAATATTAAATCTCATTTTTTTAATGATAAAAATTATACATAACAAATACGAATTTTTAAAAATATTATTATGTATATAAAAAAATATTTTACATGCGTTGAATGCTGCGGTAAAAATCGGTGAGACTATTCGTTTTAATTTTAATTTTAATTTTTTTTAGAAAGGGAAAAGTACAGAAAGGGAAAAGAAAAAAAAGGAAAAAAGGGAAAAAAGGGAAAAAAGGGAAAAAAGGGAAAGAAGAGAAAAAAGAGAAAAAGGGGAAAAAAGGAAAAAAACTGACAAAAGGAACTGTTTCTTGGACGTGGGTAAAGGGAGCGACGGGGAAGCGCCGGACGAGAGGTTTTTCGCGCGCCGGGAAATAACGACGCAACAGTCGTCCGGCAAACGTCGTACAGAGCACATCATCCAATTCCCCTCAGAAGAGTCTCTGAATTTCCAAAAAAAAATACCCACCAGTGACATTATCCAGTTGAGTGAATGAAACAATGTCCAGTGAATGGTTAACACTCGTGTGAATCATCCGAATTAACGAGGTAAGTGACTTGACCCGGATTACCACCGAAATAATTATGATAAATCGCTCCAGAGGTACCACTCAGGACCTTTAGCACCTCCCCAGGTGTTCCTGTGATAGTAATTCCCCAGGGTAATCCTGGACCGTCGGAAATTACCGATAAATCGAGAAATTATCGCCCACATAATTTCTCTCCCCTTACTATTAAAAAAATCCCCAATATAAATATTTTCCGATTTTTTTTTATTGAGAATAAACAAAGGGACACGTGAAAAACATTCTGCGGCGATTTTTCGGCGTTTAATGACCGAAAAAATCGCGGTATTGACCACCGAAGGGTGCACTCTCCCCTATTCGCTGGTAAATCCCGCGGGATATCTCCCGTTGGGGTGGGTTATTCCGGAGTTAATGAAACTACCCCTCACTCCGGGAATGACGAACAAAAGGGGCTGATCGTTATTACTCAGTCCTTTTTTTTTTTTCTCCTCGGAGATGCTCGTCGTGTCCACCTGGTGCTCGTTCATCATTTCAGCGATGTGAAATTATAAATTCGCTGGGGGAACCCCTCGGAATGAGACCTGAAGAGTGAATACGCGATGACAAATTCATGAAGGGGAAAAAAATGCCCCCCGTGCCCTCAATTTCTCCCTGACCTTCTGGATTCATCGATCCGCACATGTACCACTCCGTGTCATACCCCCTAAATATTTTTTTTTTATACTTCTCTATTGTCACGAGATACCTGTAGATTATTATTTCATCTTTAAATTCATTAAGTTTCTGCATTTTTTCATATTAATGTTGCTATGAATTCCCACCTGCCCCCGGAATAATTTATTATTCAAAAAGTCGATTCAAAAAATTCAAAAAATTCAAATTCAAAAAATTATTCAAAAGTCTTCAGTTTTATCTCTGATTTCTTGAATTTATTTATTCACTCTTTTTATTCCACTCCCTTCTCAAAGTAATTATTCATAGAATAATTATTCAATAATTACCTTGAGGTGATGGATAATTTCCGCCTGAAATTAATTGTATTTTCCTACCGTTCTTATTTATTTATTTGTTCTTAAATGATTCCTTGGGAGATTTCGTTATTTAAAGAGAAGAATTCCGTCATTTGAATTGCGAATTAATTGAATTAATCCATTTGCATTTTTCAACTGGTGCATTTATCATTCTAATTATTCAAGAATGCACTCGTCACGTCTCATTAATTTTTCCACTCATTCCAGACGAATTCCTTGTAGATTTAATCATGAATTGCCCTTTTCTCCCGCAATAGCCAGTGATGTCACGAAGATGTAGAATATTCTCGCCAAAAGAATTTCATATTCTCCATTTCCTTCCATTAATTATTTTTTAAATAATCAATTAATGGAATAGTAATCATATTAATTATAATTAATTGATTAATTTTTCACACTCGCCAGAGTAATCCATCCCCATCCCAGAAATTTCCTGAGAATAAATCCCCGAAATCCGTCGGAAGTTGATTTTTCATCCTCGCGGAATTTCTTTTTGGCCCATTAAAAAAAAAATCATTCCACTTCCTCATTCCATTTCCCAGCCGACGTAGCAGAAAGGAAAGCCCCGTTTCCCGTCCCTTCAATTCCTCATTGAATTCACACCTCTCCCTTCTCATCCAGGTGTCCATTAACCTCGTGCAGACACTCGCCTTCTCGAGGTGAATCGTATCCACTGATTCTCAGTTGCAGACACCCTGAGAATTCCCCGACATAAAGACCGAAATCTGATAGCATTTCGAGATATTTTTTCCACTCCTTTCCCGAATTTTCCGCTTTCCCATCAATTTTTTTACCCAAAAAAATTCCCCAGAACTCTAAATAAAATAAATACCTCCAAATTAATAAACAATTATTAATTTTTCCTGCTATAACAATTATTGAATAAGATTTCCATATTATTTATTCGCCGAAAGATTTTTTTCTGAATTGACACTCGAATATAGAATTTTCGATTTAATAATTTTCTACTGAAGTTTTAATTTATTTGGAACATCAGACGTTGGCAATTAAATAACAATTAAATGATTGCAATTCAGGTGAAACGTTGATAGCGTCGAGAAGACAAATAGTTTGGTACTGAAAATGAGAAAGGACTTGGTAATTAACAAAGAAAACTGTTGCTCGTAAAGAGAATTAATCGAAACGCTCGCGTTGTCGTAAAATTGAAGGATCCCTCGAGCCATTACCTCTCCATCTCTAACGGTTTATCTCCCCCCC